CTCTGCGCACCAGGGCCACATGCTCGACACGGGTAGGCGAGTACACGAGAATGTCATCTATGTACACAACGACCCCCTGCCCCTGCATGTCCCTGAAGATCTCATCCACGAATGATTGGAAAACTGACGGAGCGTTCATCAACCCGTATGGCATGACAAGATACTCGTAATGGCCCGAGGTGGTACTAAAGGCTGTCTTCCATTCATCGCCCTCCCTGATGCGCACCAAGTTGTACGCGCTCCTGAGATCTAATTTAGTGAAGAAACGCGCCCCATGCAAGGACTCAGTCATGGTCGCAATCAGCGGGAGTGGATAACTGTACTTCACCGTGATCTGATTGAGACCACGGTAATCGATGCACGGGCGTAAACCACCATCCTTCTTCTTCACAAAAAAGAAACTCGAGGACGCAGGGGAAGTGGAAGGCCGTATGTATCCTTGTCTCAGAGATTCGTCTATGTAAGTCTCCATAGCTTTCTTCTCCTCCTGAGACAGAGGATACACATGGCTCCGTGGGAGCGCAGCTCCTGCCTGGAGGTCTATCGCACAATCTCCCTGCCTATGGGGTAGCAACCGCGTCGCCCTCGACTTACTAAACGCGATAGCCAAATCCCCATACTCAGGGGGAACGTGCAATGCGGGCACCTGGTTTGGACTCTCCACCGAGGTAGCCCCTACGGAAACGCCCAAACATCGACCCACACACTGGGCAGACCACTCCATCAGAGCCCTCTCCTGCCACGAAATAGATGGGTTATGGGTACTCAACCAGGGCATGCCCAGCACCACCGGATACGCAGGCGAGTCAATCAGAAATAGCTGAATCATCTCCTGATGACCCCCCTGCGCACACATCCTAAGTGGCGCAGTGACCTCCCTGATCAAGCCCGCACCCAACGGACGGCTATCTAGGGCATGAACGGGGAAAGGGACATCAACAGGAAGAAGGGGAATCCCTAAGGCTAAACAAAACTTCTTATCAACAAAATTCCCAGCCGCGCCTGAATCTACCAGCGCCTTATGCTGGGAATGAGGTGCTACCTGTGGAAAACTCACAGGTATACAGAAATGTGCAACAGAGAGCTCTGGGTGAGTGGGGCGCCTACTCACCTGGAAGGAATCCCCAGTGCGGGACCTGTCGTCCTCTCCCCTAGGAGGCCATCCCCAGCACCTAGCCGCGGTGTGTCCTCCCCGACCACAGTTGGTGCAGGAGATGGACCCCCTAGTAAGCCGACCCCTCCTCTCTCTAGCGCCAGCGCCCCCGAGCTCCATGGGGCACGGCTCGGAGGCGCTGGAGGGTGAATTGGACGGACCCCCCTCGGAACGTCCTCGGGTAGCTAGCAGGTTATCCAGCCTGATGGACATGTCGACCAACTGGTCGAACGAGAGGCTGGTGTCCCTACAGGCCAGCTCCCGACGGACGTCCTCTCGTAGACTACATCTGTAGTGATCGACGAGAGCCCGATCATTCCACCCTGCATCTGCCGCTAGAGTACGGAATTCGAGGGCGAACTCCTGGGCACTCCTCCTCCCCTGCCGGAGGAAGACCAGACGCTCCCCCGCCGCTTTCCCCTCCGGGGGATGGTCAAACACCGCCCTGAAGCGGCGGGAGAACTCGTCGTAAGTGATGGTGTCCGCGTCGATCTTCCTCCACTCCGCGTTGGCCCATTCCAACGCCTTCCCGGAAAGGCAGGAGATCAGGGCGGACACGCTCTCATGTCCCGAGGGCGCCGGGTGCACGGTGGCCAGGTACAGCTCCACCTGGAGAAGGAATCCCTGACACCCGGCCGCGGTCCCATCGTAGGCCCTCGGGAGCGAGAGTCGGACTCCTCGGGGTTCCGGTGCGGGAATGGGCTGACTGGCCGATGGTGCTGGCAGGGAGGGTGGCGGTGGAGGCGTCCCCCAGCCTCGGATGGTGGTGATCACCTCCTGCAGTGCGGTCCCCATCTGCAGGATCTGGTCCCTTTGTTCCCGGACCTTGTCCTCCAGCGTCGCCTGGGCTGCTGCGGCTCCTGCTGATTCCATTCTTTAAGGTGTGTTATTCTGTCACGAGTGCTGTAGGTGGGTGTAGTGGTGGAATCAAACGCAGGACACCGAAGTATAGTCCAACAGACTTTAGTCAATCTCCAACAAGGAAAATACGACACGACTTGCCCGAAGGCGAAATTACGCACGAAGGCGAACAAACAAAAGCGCACTAAACAGGTGCGTAAACACTCCAACGCAGTGGAGGGAAGCTCAACCGAGCGAAATAGCGAAATAAGCCCAACACACGACAGACCAAAATCAATAACACACAACACTAGACAAACACAACGAGAAACTTATAGGACACTAATTACGCTAAACGAGAACAGGTGTCACAACAAACAGACAAAAGCAAACGAACATGAAACATACAACGGTGGCAGCTAGTATTCCGGAGACAACGAACGCCGAAGCCTGCCCGAACAAGGAAGAGAGGCAGCCTCGGCCGAAACCGTGACACATGTATTGTATTACACCCTCTAAACTTATTCCACGGATCCCTTTTTGTTGAATCTGTTTAATCTGTTGTTAGTAATATTCCCCCCCAAAAATATGTAAAAATAAAACACAGGTCCCCACTTTGAGAACCCTGTACTAACTGAGATATTGTAAGAAATTGTGTGAACATGGTGTATATTTTTCCAAGGTGTTAGTTGTAACTTTGTATTGATTTGGTTAGTTTACTGAATTGAGAGATCTTGTTAATTTTGTATTAAAATAATGTGCTGTGCATTAAAAACAAAACCCCTGTGTTGGTTTGGTTTGTTTATTCTCCCTCTACATCCATTGGCTCAGTGCCTCCCCCCTCTCCTCTGTTCCCAAGGTGACTCCCTTCTTAGCTGGGTCAGTGCTATCTGGAATCCTTGGGATGTTGCTACCCTAACACTAACCCCTACAGTAACAATTACCCTTAAATAACGCTAACCATTTGAAATGTCAACTTCAATAGGGTAGGGACGTCCCAAGGATCCCAGATAGCAGTACTGTTACCATGGAAACTGTTGTCTCAGTGTCAGGGCCAGGACCATGTTGTCTCCATGACAACGGTGCAACAGTAAAGAGAGGCAGACATAACATTGTGAATATCAATTTTTATTCCTCATATTTTTCTTTATTCTCAGGGTCACAGAGTTCAAAGTTTACAGAGTTCACACTAAAAATAACCATGACAACCCTAAACCCAATCCAATCTATTCTTCATCTTCCATATCTCTGCTAGACATCACTAAGCGATTAGACTGAGCTGTTATCCATTAAGCATCCTTTCATCCTTCTCCATCTCCAATCACACACTCCGGCTACGTTCCAATATCCTTACTAGAGTACCACTTAGGAGGATGCACAGCCAGCATCGTTTCCTTCTAAGTGTAGCACATGGGGGTAGTGTGCTAGTTTGGATGATGGAATACAGCTTCCCTCTCAGGCCACTCCCTCACTCACACACACACACACACACACACACACCTGTCGCCTTCAGAAGGAACACAGTAGGAAAACACTTTGAAAATGTATTCTCCCATTTGTTCCAACAGAACCCTGACCACCGCAGTCCACACGGTTCCTTCTGAACGCTACCCTGACCCCCAGAGTCCACACGTTTCCTTCTGAGCGCTACCCTGACCACCACAGTCCACACGGTTCCTTCTGAGCGCTACCCTGACCACCGCAGTCCACACGGTTCCTTCTGAGCGCTACCCTGACCACCGCAGTCCACACGGTTCCTTCTGAGCGCTACCCTGACCACCGAAGTCCACATGGTTCCTTCTGAGCGCTACCCTGACCACCGCAGTCCACACTGAGCCCTCTGATTTCTCTCCATCTTCCTTTTGCTATAATCTACACATAAAAATTGGTCTCAGTCCCAGATTAAGTGTTTCAGTAAAAAGATTAGAAAAGAGAAGTAGATTGTCTGCCCAAGGGGAGGTTGCTATTCTCTAAGTAACGCCCTTATTAAGACAGTAACTATACATGAGATGAGTGCCACTCCTGGGGTGCCACATATAGGGCTTCACTAGTGTTATTATGGATAAGATATTATACAGAGAGACACTGTGGACTCCTGGGGTGTATTCAAGATGCCCTGAGCGTTGCTTGAGCGTTTTAAAATGTTAACAGTAATAGTATTGAATTGAATGTTCAGTTACAATTAGTGCCAGTATAGCAGCCGAACCTGATAGTATGCATCTTGAATACACCCCTAGTGTTCCAGTTCTGAATCCTTCAGCTGCTGATGCAGGAGTCTGATCTCCCAGCAGTGCTACATGTGACCAAGGGTCACCCAGCTTATATAATGTACAAATACACCTGTATATGTGTGTTTTTGTTTTGTTGGCATATATACACTGAGTGTACAAAACAAAACATGCACTAAATTATGCATACTATGCATGCACTGCACTTTGAGGAAACTATAGACAACTGTTCTCTTTATAATGACAGTATATACACAATGTACAAAACATGCTCTTTCCATGACATAGACGGACCAGGTGAATCCAGGTGAAAGCTATGATCCCTTATTGATGTCACTTGTTAAATCCACTTCAATCAGTGTAGATGAAGGCAGGTTAAAGAAGGATTTTTAAGCCTTGAGACAATTGAGACATGGATTGTGTATGTGTGCCATTCAGAGGGTGAATGGGAAAGACAAAAAATGCCTTTGAACGGGGTATGGTAGTAGGTGCCAGGCGCACCGGTTTGTGTCAAGAACTGCAACACTGCTGGGTTTTTCACGCTCAACAGTTTCCTGTGTCCCGTGTGTATCAAGAATGGTCCACCACCCAAAGGACATCCAACACCTTGTAGAGTCCATGCCACTATGAATTGAGGATGTTCTGAGGGCAAAAGGAGGGGGGGGGGGTGCAACTGGATATTAGGAAGGTGTTCTTAATGTTTGGTATACTCAGTGTACATTTTAGTTGTTTCGTTTTTTTGTGGATGTGAACGTGCACATGTGCTTTTCAGCTTTTGAGTGAGTGAGTGAGAGAGTGATGTGTGTGTGTGTATGTTAGTCGGACCAGTCGTTCTCCTCCAGCTCTGAGTCATCCTCGGAGTCTGAATATTCGACGGCGATGCGTCTGGACAGGATGGTGGCCACGTCGTTCCCTACAGGCTCCCGCTTAGCCTGCTGCTCCTGCTGCTCCTGACCCTTCTTCAACTGGATACCTACAGCCAGGAAGAGACAGTTAGACACTCTTCAACTGGATACCTACAGCCAGGAAGAGACAGTTAAGACACACTTCAACTGGATACCTACAGCCAGGAAGAGACAGTTAGACACAGACACACTTCAACTGGATACCTACAGCCAGGAAGAGACAGTTAGACACACTTCAACTGGATACCTACAGCCAGGAAGAGACAGTTAGACACACTTCAACTGGATACCTACAGCCAGGAAGAGACAGTTAGACACTCTTCAACTGGATACCTACAGCCAGGAAGAGACAGTTAAGACACTCTTCAACTGGATACCTACAGCCAGGAAGAGACAGTTAAGACACTCTTCAACTGGATACCTACAGCCAGGAAGAGACAGTTAGACACTCTTCAACTGGATACCTACAGCCAGGAAGAGACAGTTAGACACTCTTCAACTGGATACCTACAGCCAGGAAGAGACAGTTAGACACTCTTCAACTGGATACCTACAGCCAGGAAGAGACAGTTAGACACTCTTCAACTGGATACCTACAGCCAGGAAGAGACAGTTAAGACACTCTTCAACTGGATACCTACAGCCTGGAAGAGACAGTTAGACACTCTTCAACTGGATACCTACAGCCAGGAAGAGACAGTTAGACACAGACACTCTTCAACTGGATACCTACAGCCAGGAAGAGACAGACACAGACACACTTCAACTGGATACCTACAGCCATTTTAGACCATTCCATTGGTCCTAAAGAGAAATCTCCACCTCCCTGGGGCACCAGGTAATGCAAAACAAACTTGCCAGACAGACACACACACACTGAATACCTCTGCCACAGAGACAGGTGGGTTAGATACAGATACGCACTCTTACCCATGCGTATGGCCGCCAGCAAATCACTACGAGCATCATTAACAGGCTGGGTGTTGTGGGGCACGGAGGACATCTTGGGAGTGGTAGAGTAGGAGGAGCCTGGAGGGGGGGGCGGAGGCATCGGGGGGGTTGGAGCCACCAGCGACCCAGCGAGTGGCAGTGGGGGCGGGGCATAGACACCAGCTGATCCCATTAGTCCTGGAGGAGGAAGTGGGCCTCCGGGGGGCGTGGCAAAGGCAGATTGTGCAGATGGCATGAGAGGAGCAGGAGGAGGGGATCCGTTTCCATGTCCCCCCATCACACTGAGAGAGAAGGGACATATGGAGGGCGAGCATGAGGCATTATATTAATCATCAATCACATCATCGTAACCATTTCAGAAATAAAAAGTATTATATGTTTATTGGCCTCTCCACAAAAACATCTCACATATAGCCATGATAATCCTACCGTACAAACATCCTCTGACAAGTTCAAGAAGAAAGACCAACAGGATGGAATTATTTCCAGATTTAGACAGGTCACAGACGAACAATGTTAAGAGAAGGCAGAGGACAACGCTTGGGTTTTGAGTGTACCAGGGCACTACTTGGTTTGTATGGGATGACAGTACATTACAGAGCCAAACGCTTAGTTCCAGAGAGAATAAAGCCTGTTGTTGATCATCAGATCAGCTAACCCTAACTCTAACCCAAACCAATAGCAGATTAAACACATCAAACCCTGGAGCCGGGCCAGAGCCCCAACAACAGAGCGTACATGGGTTTGTTTGATGTCCCTGTGCACATGTGAATGAATGTTAAATGTTCATTTGATTGTGCATTTATGCATCAATCTGTCTGCCAGCGTGTTTATTTATGTGCACTTGCTGACCTGTAGTCCACAGGTGGTAGAGACATGGATCCATTCATGTTCTCAATGGGAGGGAGAGAGGGTGGCGCATTGTGGGAGCGACCCAGGGTCCCTCCCCTGTAGACATGATCCAGAGTGACGTTTCCCTGAGCAGCCAGCTGAGCAGCCAGGAGACTGGGGGGTGGGCCGGAGTACGTGTGGGCGTGACCAGCATGATTGGTTGAGTTAGGGTAGTGGCGTTGGTGGTGGTCAGGCCCAAGACCCCTAGGAGAGAGAGTAAGGGAGGGAGATGGAAAGAGAACATTTTACAGAATGGCCAGCAGGGGGAGGAAGAGGACTGTCAGGTGTCAGCTGACAGAGACTAAATTATCCTAGTACTGGGGGAAACCCCTTATTTCCACTGGGGGAAACCCCTTATTTCCATGTGAGTAATAATCATCTATACAGAAAAGTATTATACAGACAGGTAATTATTCCATACTTTTTTACATTTGATATGTTATCTTATAAATGCATCTTTGTTTTATGTAAACTTTTCATTGACCTCATCTCATCATACAGTATGTATGTAACTTTGTGTGTGTATTTGGACTGGCCTCATCTCAGGGGACAGTGATCCCTCGCAGGTGAACCCCTGGTGGAGGGAGTGTGTGTGGCGGTGGTCGGGCCTCAGCTCCTTATCCAGGGACAACATATTCCACTCCTGACGACGGTTCCGAGCCTTACGCACCTTCTTCACCTCCCTCTGCAACGTCCCGTCCACACAACGCTTCTGCTCCTGTGAGGAGAGACATATTAGTGGAGAAAGGGAGGAAGAGAAAGAGAAGGAGGGAGAGATACAAAGAAAGAAAATAAAATAGGGATTTTACTTTGTTCTTCCTCTTCTCTTTCCTCTTGTCCTCCGTGTCCTGCAGCATCTTCTCTCTCCACAGGTCGAAGAAGTAGGAGGGGTCAGTGTAGAACTTCAGCCCCTCCTTGTGATCGTCCCTACAGGGTCAAAGGGTAAACACGGGTCAGGGTTTGTGGGAAATGACGTCCACAACATTCCATTATGAGACTACAAAACAAGATCAGGTGAGGTATTTGACTCTGGGTTTAGACTGCCCTGCGTAGATGAAGTTGGACAGGTCATAGAAAGGGAGGGGGAGAGAACCCACCTATATTTGGAGAGGATGTTGAGAGGTGGAGGTTTGTTACTCAGGTTGTACATCTCCTTGACAGGGATGGGAATGCTCCTCGTGGACACCACCTGCTGGTCCTGGGCGGTACTGCTCTTAAACGCCTTCTTCATGTTGATGTCCTGCAGAGAGACTGAGGACAGAGAAAGAGGACAAACAGAGAGAGAAAGAGGGAGAGAGAGAGAGGACACAGAAAGAGAAGGACAAAGAGAAAGAGGGTTGGGGAGATGTGGGAGAAAAGAGAGGGAAACAGACAGGGTGTGAGAGAATAATTTATAAAGCCTCAGTTTCAGCACTTTTACAACTGACTGGACCTCACATCACTATGCCAACGAGTAATGATGTCACTTCCTATTTCCTGTGACCTCTAATCCGTCTCACCTTCCTCCACGGTGGAGTCCAGCTGGGTGACCTTGACGGCCAGGCGGTCGATGCGGTCCTGCAGGGAGTTGGCTCTCAGGTAGAACGTGTTGGCCTCATTGAACAGCTCCCCAAAGATGTCCTCCGCATGTTTACCTGCAGTACAAGGGTAGACAGATGGATCATGTGGTTAGCATGACATCCTGGTGCACTAAATTATGCATGCACTGCACTTTGAGGAAACTATAGACAACTGTTATCTTTATAATGACAGTACTGTATATACACTGAGTGTACAAAACATGCTCTTTCCATGACAGACTGACAAGGTGAATCCAGGTGAAAGCTATGATTCCTTATTGATGTCACTTGTTAAATACACTTCAATCAGTGTAGATGATTTTTAAGCCTTGAGACAATTGAGACATGGATTGTGTATTAGGGTGAATGGGCAAGACAAAAGATTTAAGTGCCTATGAACGGGGTACGGTAGTAGGTGCCAGGCGCACCGGTATAAGTGTGTCAAGAACTGTAACGCTGCTGGGTTTTTCACACTCAACAGTTTGCCGTATGTATCAATAATGGTCCACAACCCAAAGGACATCCAGCCAACTTGACACAACTGTGGGAAGCATTGGAGTCAACATGGGCCAGCATCCCTGTGGAACGCTTTCGACTCCTTGTAGGCTTCCCAACGAATTGAGGCTGTTCTGAGGGCAAAAGGGGGTGCAACTCAATATTAGGAAATTGTTCTTAATGTTTTGTAAACACAGTGACAGTCACTCAATTAGCCCATGTCAGTGATCATTTTTTAGATTGGTAAATGAGTCTAGTTAGTCTAGCTAGCTATCAAAACTTGTAGTAATCATGGCCTAATTACCAACCGGGCACGTAAGGCACGTGCCCAGGGGTCCCTGACCTCCAGGGGGACCCCACTGATTTTGTTAGCCACTCTCACTCAGATATCATATTAACATGGCATAAGTCTGGTTATCCCCCTTCTGATAACCAGGTGGCGAATCGCATCTCTGCATGTCTGGCAGACATATCAGTGTGGATGTCAGATCACCACCTCAAGCTGAACCTCGGCAAGACGGAGCTGCTCTTCCTCCCAGGGAAGGACTGCCCGCTCCATGATCTCGCCATCACGGTTGACAACTCCATTGTGTCCTCCTCCCAGAGTGCAAAGAACCTTGGCGTGACCCTGGACAACACCCTGTCATTCTCCGCTAACATCAATGCGGTGACCCGATCCTGCAGGTTCATGCTCTACAACATTCGCAGAGTACGACCCTACCTTACACAGAAACGGCACAGGTCCTAATCCAGGCACTTGTCATCTCCCGTCTGGATTACTGCAACTCGCTGTTGGCTGGGCTCCCTGCCTGTGCCATTAAACCCCTACAACTTATCCAGAACGCTGCAGCCCGTCTGGTGTTCAACCTTCCCAAGTTCTCTCATGTCACCCCGCTCCTCCGCACACTCCACTGGCTTCCAGTTGAAGCTCGCATCTACTACAAGACCATGGTGCTTGCCTACGGAGCTGTGAGGGGAACGGCACCTCCGTACCTTCAGGCTCTGATCAGACCCTACACCCAAACGAGGGCACTATGTTCATCCACCTCTGGCCTGCTAGCTCCCCTACCTCTACGGAAGCACAGTTCCCGCTCAGCCCAGTCAAAGCTATTCGCTGCTCTGGCACCCCAATGGTGGAACAAGCTCCCCCACGACGCCAGGACAGCGGAGTCACTGACCACCTTCCGGAGACACTTGAAACCCTACCTCTTTAAGGAATACCTGGAATAGTATAAAGTAATCCTTCTACCCGCCCACCATTAAAAAAATAAAAAATAAAAATAAAATAAAAAGGGTGGTTGTCCCACTGGCTATCATAAGTTGAATGCACCAATTTGTAAGTCGCTCTGGATAAGAGCGTCTGCTAAATTATGTAAATGTAAAATGTGTAGAATTGCAGAAAATTTGCTGTAAAACTGCAAAAACAAAATTTTGTTAAAATAATATTTTTTCCGCTAACAGATTCCTCTGTATTTATTAAATGGTCGTTTTTAATCCCAGTGCGGAGTTAATGTAAGTTAATGTGTAGTGGCTAATTGTATAGCTAATAGGCTATGTGTTTGTAGACGAACTGAGGTGAATGAACCTAAAGCAGCCAAGGTGATAATGGCCGGGGTCAATTCTGCTTGTTTTTGCTGTTCTCCAAATAGCATTTTAAAGTGTTTAAACTGTACAGAAATGCAGTAAATGAGCTTCAACTGTCTTAAAATTTCACGAAAACTCAGATCCTGGCTACGGCCCTGCATCTGACGCAGAAAAGCTAATCCATGCATTCATTTTCTCCAGAATTGATTATGAGAACGCAGTACTTGGGGAGCCTGCCTGCAAATTCAATTAGTAAGCTCATACAAAACAGTGCCGCAAAGAATCTGACACAAACAAAAAAGTATTCCCACATCACCCCCATCCTTGCTGATCTCCATTTGCTTTCTGTTCCTCAAAGAAATTACTATAGAATTCTCCTCCTCTTCTACAAAGCCCTAAATGGCATCGGACCCGCCTACCTGTCAGACCTACTCTCCCCCTATGAACGGCAACCCACCCTACGTTCAAGCCACACCAAACTGGATCATGCCCCCAGGACCAGGCTCCGCACAATGGGGGACAGTGCCTTGTCCTCCCATGCACCACGCCTATGGAACTCCCTTCCAGATAATCTAAGGGCTGTTCAGACTGTTGGGGCTTTTAAAGCCTTAAGACTCATCTCTATCGGATGGCCTACCCTTCCTCCTAGACTTTGATCGTTGCATTCATGATATGGTTAGACATACACACACACACACACACACACACACACACACACACACACACACACACACACACACACACACACACACACACACACACACACACACACACACACACACACACACACACACACACACACACACACACACACACACACACACACACACACACACACACACACACACACACACACACACACAACCAGTCAAAAGTTTGGACACACCAACTCATTCAAGGGTTTTTCTTTATTTTTACTATTTTCTACATTGTAGAATAATAGTGAAGACATCAAAACTATGAAATAACACATATGGAATCATGTAGTAACCAAAAGAAAGTGTTAAACAAATCAAAATATATTTTATGTTTGAGATTCTTCAAAGTAGCCACCCTTTGCCTTGATGACAGCTTTGCACACTCTTGGCATTCTCTCAACCAGCTTCATGAGGTAGTCACCTGGAATGCATTTCAATTAACAGGTGTGCCTTGCTAAAAGTTAATTTGTGGAATTTATTTCCTTCTTAATGCATTTGAGCCAATCAGCTGTGTTATGACAAGGTGGGGGGGGGGGGGGGGGGGGGGGTTACAGAAGCTAGCCCTATTTGGTAAAAGACCAAGTCCATATTATGGCAAGAACAGCTCAAATAAGCAAAGAGAAACAACATTACTTTAAGACATGAAGGTCAGTCAATACGGAAAATGTCAAGAACTTTGAACGTTTCTTCAAGTGCAGTCGCAATACCCATCAAGCACTATGATGAAACTGGCTCTCATGAGGACCGCCACAGGAATGGAAGACCCAGAGTTACCTCTGTTGCAGGGGATAAGTTCATTAGAGTTACCAGCCTCAGAAATTGCAGTCCAAATAAATGCGTCACAGAGTTCAAGTAACAGTCACATCTCAACATCAACTGTTCAGAGGAGACTGTGTGAATCAGGCCTTCATGGTCGAATTGCTGCAAAGAAACCACTACTAAAGGACACCAGTAAGAAGAAGAGACTTGCTTGGGCCAAGAAACACGAGCAATGGACATTAGACCGGTGGAAATTTGTCCTTTGGTCTGGAGTCCAAATTTGAGATTTCCGCATGATCTCCGCATGTGTATTTCCCACCGTATAGCATGGAGGAGGAGGTGTTATGGTGTGTGGGTGCTTTGCTGGTGACACTGTCTGTGATTTATTTAGAATTCAAGGCACACTTAACCAGCATGGCTACCACAGCATTCTGCAGCGATACGCCATCCCATCTGGTTTGGGCATAGTGGGACTATCATTTGTTTTTCAACAGGACAATGACCCAACACACCTCCAGGCTGTGTAAGGGCTATTTTACCAAGAAGGAGAGTGATGCAGTGCTGCATCAGATGACCTGGTCTCCACAATCCCCCGACCTCAACCAAATTGAGATGGTTTGGGATGAGTCGGACCACAGAGTGAAGGAAAAGTAGCCAACAAGTGCTCAGCATATGTGGGAACTCCTTCAAGACTGATGGAAAAGCATTCCAGGTGAAGCTGGTTGAGAGAATGCCAAGAGTGTGCAAAGCTGTCATCAAGGCAAAGGGTGGCTATTTGAAGAATCTCAAACATAAAATATATTTTGATTTGTTTAACAATTTTTTGGTTACCACATGATTCCATATGTGTTATTTCATAGTTTTGATGTCTTCACTATTATTCTACAATGTAGAAAATAGTAAAAATAAAGAAAAACCCTTGAATGAGTAGGTGTTCTAAAACTTTTGAACTGTATTATATATATATAAACTCAGCAAAAAAAGAAATGTCCCTTTTTCAGGACCCTGTCTTTCAAAGATAATTTGTAAAAATCCTAATAACTTCACAGATCTTCATTGTAATGGTTTAAACTCTGTTTCCCATGCTTGTTCAATGTACCATAAACGATTAATGAACATGCACCCGTGGAACGGTCGTTATGACACTAACAGCTTACAGATGGTAGGTAATTAAGGTCACAGTTATGGAAACTTAGGACACTAAAGAGGCCTTTCTACTGACTCTGAAAAACACCAAAAGAAAGATGCCCAGGGTCCCTGCTCATCTGCGTGAACGTATCTTAGGCATGCTGCAAGGAGGCATGAGGACTGCAGATGTGGCCAGTGCAATAAATTGCAATGTCCATACTGTGAGACGCCTAAGACAGCGCTACAGGGAGACAGGACGGACAGCTGATCATCCTCGCAGTGGCAGACCACATGTAACAACACCTGCACAGGATCGGTACGTCCGAATATCACACAGGTACAGGATGGCAACAACAACTGCCCGAGTTACACCAGGAACGCACAATCCCTCAATCAGTGCACAGACTGTCCGCAATAGGCTGAGAGAGGCTGGACTGAGGGCTTGTAGGCCTGTTGTAAGGCAGGTCCTCACCAGACATCACCGGCAACAACGTCGCCTATGGGCACAAACCCACCGTTGCTGGGCCAGACAGAACTGGCAAAAAGCGCTCTTCACTGACGAGTCGCGGTTTTGTCTCACCAGGGGTGATGGTCGGATTCGCGTTTATCGTCGAAGGAATGAGCGTTACACCGAGGCCTGTACTCTGGAGCGGGATCGATTTGGAGGTGGAGGGTCCGTCATGGTCTGGGGCGGTGTGTCACAGCATCATCGGACTGAGCTTGTTGTCATTGCAGGCAATCTCAACGCTGTGTGTTACAGGGAAGACATCCTCCTCCCTCATGTGGTACCCTTCCTGCAGGCTCATCCTGACATGACTCTCGAGCATGACAATGCCACCAGCCATACTGCTCGTTCTGTGCGTGATTTCCTGCAAAACAGGAATGTCAGTGTTCTGCCATGGCCAGCAAAGAGCCCGGATCTCAATCCCATTGAGCACGTCTGGGAGCTGTTGGATCGGAGGGTGAGGGCTAGGGCCATTCCCTCCAGAAATGTCTGGGAACTTGCAGGTGCCTTGGTGGAAGAGTGGGGTAACATCTCACAGCAAGAACTGCCAAATCTGGTGCAGTCCATGAGGAGGAGATGCACTGCAGTACTTAATGCAGCTGGTGGCCACACCAGATACTGACTGTTACTTTTGATTTTGACCCCCCCTTTTGTTCAGGGACACATTATTCAATTTCTGTTAGTCACATGTCTGTGGAACTTGTTCAGTTTATGTCTCAGTTGTTGAATCTTGTTATGTTCATACAAATCTTTACACATGTTAAGTTTGCTGAAAATAAATGCAGTTGACAGTTAGAGCACGTTTCTTTTCTTGCTGAGTTTATATAGTTGTTTTTTAAAACTATTTTTCTATTTTCTATTTTATTTGATGTACTTTGGGATTATTCTTGTATAATGAAAAGCGCTTTCCAAATGTAATAAATGCAGATTATTATAGTATGTAGATTTGAACAGGACCAAGCAATAACCAGACACAGTCAATCCTAAAGACAGCAACCACACCAGAGTCAGACAGGTAGGGGCAACCAATTGAGATGGACTTAATGATTGGGACTATCAAATCTCTTTCTACCATTCTTCTGGTAACAAACTGAACCAAGAAATTGACCACCGTAATGTGAGGACCTAGAGTAAAAATCCACAGCAATCAATCTTTGCTAGAGCAAGTCTGTTTAGTTCAGGCGTCAATACGTTTTAACAACTCTAAACTTTTGTGTGTCAGACGCAAACCCACGCATGAATGCATGAATGCACACACACTCACACACAGTGCGCGCATGCTCACGCAAAATATAGACTATTTCTGTCACCATACTGACAGGATGACCTCTGGATAAATATTTAGAGGAAGGAAGGAAGGAAGGAAGGGAGATCTAGCATGCTGAGGTCCATCAACTCTGACCTCTCTTCATGGTTCTGACATTCAGTCCACCTCCACACGCACACACTCACTGGACATACTGCATCAACACACACACACGGATACGTGTACACACACACACAGCTCCTGTCCCTAGCTCAGGGCTTCCAGTCATTTATATTTAACCCACACAGCAGCTGCTGAAAGTTCCACTCCCACCACAACAACTCTCACAATGACAGAGAGAGAGAGAGAGAGAGAGAGAGAGAGAGAGGAGAGAGGAGAGAGAGAGAGGAGAGAGAGAGAGAGAGAGAGAGAGAGAGAAAGAGAGAAAGATTTGGGGGAGGGAGGAAAACAGAGTATGAGCAAGATGGAGAAAGCAAGAAAGCGAGGGTCGAGAGAGAGCGAGAGGTGGAGCTGTGGTGGTTGGATACTGGGTATAAGCGAGGAAAGAATATCTCAATATATTCGACAGGACATTATATGGGTCGTGTCATGGTATTCAGGCTATTCCCCCTTAGGTCATAGTCACTCTGTTGAATATACCGCAGCACACACACACTGAATGTATTATTGCGGAAATATCTAAACAGGATTACATCCTCCTGTGGGTCTATGATGACAGAGTCTTGACCTAGAGACCTCTAGCTCTGATCCTGTTTCACTGAACACTGACAAATCAATCTCTGCTCCAGGATTAAACATCACTATATCATCATGTCTTCTCACAATGTCAAACAGGACTGTGCAGTGTGCACAGCAGCATGGTGACTATGAGATAGATGGTGATGAGAGAGTATTTTATGCGAGTATATAATAGTATAATATTTAATGAACAGCGGGGCAGGGAAACGAACCTGGGTCGCAAGGCAAACACCCTACCCATTGCGCCAATAGGGTTAACTCACTTGGGAATTACCATGTCTCATACAGTGAGGATCAATACAACATGAGCAGCATAAGCATGTTATTCATAGGTGTGGAAAATGACAATGACATACAGTGGGGAGAACAAGTATTTGATACACTGCCGATTTTGCAGGTTTTCCTACTTACAAAGCATGTAGAAAATCCAGAAAATCATATTGTATGATTTTTAAGTAATTAATTTGCATTTTATTGCATGACATAAGTATTTGATCACCTACCAACCAGTAAGAATTCTGGCTCTCACAGACCTGTTAGTTTTTCTTTAAGAAGCCCTCCTGTTCTCCACTCATTACCTGTATTAACTGCACCTGTTTGAACTGGTTACCTGTATAAAAGACACATGTCCACACACTCAATCAAACAGACTCCAACCTCTCCACAATGGCCAAGACCAGAGAGCTGTGTAAGGACATCAGGGATAAAATTGTAGACCGGCACAAGGCTGGGATGGGCTACAGGACAATAGGCAAGCAGCTTGGTGAGAAGGCAACAACTGTTGGCGCAATTATTAGAAAATGGAAGAAGTTCAAGATGACGGTCAATCACCCTCGGTCTGGGGCTCCATGCAAGATCTCACCTCGTGGGGCATCAATGATCATGAGGAAGGTGAGGGATCAGCCCAGAACTACACAGCAGGACCTGGTCAATGACCTGAAGAGAGCTGGGACCACAGTCTCAAAGAAAACCATTAGTAACACACTACGCCGTCATGGATTAAAATCCTGCTCAAGCCAGCGCATGTCCAGGCCCGTCTGAAGTTTGCCAATAACCATCTGGATGATCCAGAGGAGGAATGGGAGAAGGTCATGTGGTCTGATGAGACAAAAATAGAGCTTTTTGGTCTAAAGTCCACTCGCCGTGTTTGGAGGAAGAAGAAGGATGAGTACAACCCCAAGAACACCATCCCAAACGTGAAGCATGGATGTGGAAACATCATTCTTTGGGGATGCTTTTCTGCAAAGGGGACAGGACGACTGCACTGTATTGAGGGGAGGATGGATTGGGCCATGTATCGCGAGATCTTGGCCAACCACCTCCTTCCCTCAGTAAGAGCATTGAAGATGGGTCGTGGCTGGGTCTTCCAGCATGACAACGACCCGAAACACACAGCCAGGGCAACTAAGGAGTGGCTCCGTAAGAAGCATCTCAAGGTCCTGGAGTGGACTAGCCAGTCTCCAGACCTGAACCCAATAGAAAATCTTTGGAGGGAGCTGAAAGTCCGTATTGCCCAGCGACAGCCCCGAAACCTGAAGGATCTGGAGAAGGTCTGTATGGAGGAGTGGGCCAAAATCCCTGCTGCAGTGTGTGCAAACCTGGTCAAGACTTACAGGAAACGTATGACCTCTGTAATTGCAAACAAAGGTTTCTGTACCAAATATTAAGTTCTGCGTTTCTGATGTATCAAATACTTGTCATGCAATAAAATGCAAATTAATTACTTAAAAATCATACAATGTGATTTTCTGGATTTTTGTTTTAGATTCCGTCTCTCACAGTTGAAGTGTACCTATGATAAAAATTACAGACCTCTACATGCTTTGTAAGTAGGAAAACCTGCAAAATCGGCAGTGTATCAAATACTTGTTCTCCCCACTGTATGTTACTGTTGAAACACTGGTATAAAGCGTATGTAGTCGTTTGTAGTGTGTGGTTAGTGCTCTGTATCTGTGTGTTTTCTGAGCGTGTGTGTTACTCAGGCTGCTGAGCTGGCGGATGATGGAGGAGAGGGTGTTGTTCATCACACACTCCAGCTCACTGCCAACGCCCTCTGGCAACGCCCCCCGGCACAGGTGGCGTGGGTCGATGTTCCTCTTCACCAGAGGCATGGTGACACCTCACACTGTCACACCTAGAGAGAACCACAGGACACACAATACATATGATATATGACACACTCTACTTACATAATGAACGTATTTACAGACAACTTTTGTTGTAAGTTATAACTATTGTAAATAAATATGGCAAGTAGTATAAACACCACGATGCACGGAGACAGATACACACACAGCTAGTCACTGGCCAGACATATTAGCACACACTAACAAACGCACAATCCTATTCTTCCAAACAGGGTTAAAAAGACTGGGCATACAACTGTGACCCTTCCAGACCGGTCCAGACCCGTCCATGACAGTAGTAGTAGACAGTAGCAGGCCAACGTCAGAGAGATTAAGGTATTAAGAAAATAAGCTACAGTCCAGCTAATGCTTTCCAGCCTTACCACTGCCCCAGATGTACGGTCAACAGTTCAAACACAAACTCACTCTCCTGTGCCGTGCACGCTGAGACACATTCCCTTGATAGTTCAGACCAACACACACTCTCCAATGCAATTGGACACATTCACTAGACACAAAGGATTAAATTGCTCTTTCCTTGATACTAATCTAAGGTCTACATCTTCCCTATAATGGTTTAAGTCAGGATCTGAGGAGGCTAAGCTGATCCTAGATCTGTGTCTAAGGGCCGCTTCTACAGCAGATGAAAAAGGGATCTCAGAAAGCATCGGAGCGGCCATCTTATCTGGGCCTCTTCCTGCTTCCTGTTTTTACGGCCTCCGCCCGGCTCCAGCTTCCTGTTCCTCACAGTGTAACATCTCTACGTCCTGTCCTCCCAGAGGAGCAGAAGAACAATACACCCAACAGCAAAGCTGACCCCTCAGCCACTCTTTTTCAGATCTAGTATGCTAAGCTGTGTGTGTCATTGATGAATAGGGGGTTTTGTGAAGGGGATACCTAGTCAGTTGCACAACTGAATGCATTCCACCGAAATGTGTCTTCTGCATTTAACCCAATCCCTCTGAATCAGAGAGGTGTGGGGGGCTGCCTTAATCAATGTCCACGTCATCGGCGCCCGGGTGCAATTATTGTTGGGGGTTAACTGCCTTGCTCAAGGGCAGAACGGCAGATTTTTCCAACTTGCTGGCTTGGGGATTTGACCCAGCGACCTTTCAGTTACTGGCCCAATAATCTTAACCAAAGGCTACCCCCTTTGATGGTGTTGACAGAGAAAATAGTCATTTCTGACCACCAAGTAGCAACCTCCCCCCAAGGTTACGGCAGAGTCCTCAGCTGGCTTCGGTCCAATACCCCCCGCCAAGCCCTGCTTACAGCCACAAACCAATAAGGGACAACAAAGGAGAATTACTGCACCATCATCTGCTGCCACAAAGCTCAGTGAAAACAGCCAATTAGGCCTGCTGTTAAAGAGATAGCATCCTGATTTGCGTATTGAACCAGGCCTACATTATTATAGAAAAACGTTAGTCTGTGAAATGTGTTGGTTTGCTCTGCTTGGAAGTTCTGCATATAGTTAACATATGCCATGAGTTTGTTTTTGTTCTTGTCTGGTGTGACAATGGGGAGATAATTAGAGGTTGGGGAGGGGAGGCAAATAAAGGAAAGTGGGAGAGAGGAAGGGAACGTGTGTGTGTGTGAGGGGGTAAATAATGTGTGTATATGGTGTGTGTGTGTGTGTGTACGAGAAAAAGGAAATGTGTGTCTGTGTGTCTAGAGAGTGAGTGAGTGAGGGAGGGGATGAGCAGGGGCCTCAGGGAAGCCACTCTGAAAGGTTCCTAGGACAATGGAGCTCCGTTCACACGGCAACAGCAGAGTGCTCCCATGCATGCCTCCCCCTCCACTCCCCTCCCAGACCTCCTTTTAACACCCCCTGAAAAGAGGGCACTCCACTCAGAAAGGAAGAGAGGGGAGAAAGAGTGAGAGAGGGGGAAGAAAAAGGAGGAAGAGAGACATGGAAAAATAGAGGAATAGAGAAAGTGGGAGAGAGCGAGAGAGAGTGAGAGTTAGATTACGATTTCTTATATTTAGTCACATGCACAGGTTTGCAGATGTAGTTTACGTATACAGTGAAATTCTTAAGCGCCGAGCTCCAACAGTGCAGGTGTGAATGAAACAATAATAATAATAATAATAATAATAAATACACCAGTTGAGGTCGTGCCGTTTAAGATGAGGGAGGACGATACATTTCTTTATGAGCATGGCATTATTTCTATTACAGCATATTGGATGACTGTCATTCATATTCCATTCACCCAGCTCAATGTAACATCGATAGATTTAGGCTACTACATGATACTCGAATTTCCCTATACCCATCATGAGGTTGCTAAAACCTAGCCTATGAATGAAAGTTTACAACGTAGGTGCACAGGTCAAGATAATTTTTTGTAAATCAAGGTGACAGACAGTGACACATTGAATACCGCCTTGCACACTCTTGCCTAGCTGATCTAGGGTTTAATCATTAGTCCCACGGCTGCAAACGAGAGTTTCTATTGGACCAAATTCAGGTATGTCTATCCCTATTTTGTACCGTTTGCTTACGTTTAAGAATCGGCGGAATGAATACACCCCTGATCACACGCAAACACAGGTAACATTCATAGCAGCCACATACAAACAGCATGATCACTTTGCTCATAATTCCTCCTCTCTCACCTTTTCCCTCCGCTTGTGGAATCCAGTGCACAACACATCAGCTGTCTGTGACCAGGCGAAAAAACTTTTCCAAGCCAAACCTTCATATCATAACTGCTAACCGTTACACACAGCCTACACCGTTGTCACCATATTATCTAATGTTTAAGTCAACATAGTTAATAGAACTAACGCGTTACTAAACCCGATACAACCATACAGTACAGTGTACAGTCAGCAAGCACTTTAGCAGTTACACCGGTGGTCCCCGGTGGCAATACATTAATAAAACCAAAAGCTTGCCTTGACTTGGAAGCTACAGTGAGGGAAAAAATTATTTGATCCCCTACTGATTTTGTACGTTTGCCCACTGACAAAGAAATTATCAGTCTATAATTTTAATGGTACGTTTATTTGAACAGTGAGAGACAGAATAACAACAAAAAACCCAGAAAAACGAATGTTAAAAATGTTATAAATTGATTTGCATTTTAATGAGGGAAATAAGTATTTGACCTCCTCTCAATCAGAAAGATTTCTGGCTCCCAGGTGTCTTTTATACAGGTAACGAGCTGAGATTAGGAGCACACTCTTAAAGGGAGTGCTCCTAATCTCAGCTTGTTACCTGTATAAAAGACACCTGTCCACAGAAGCAATCAATCAATCAGATTCCAAACTCTCCACCATGGCCAAGACCAAAGAGCTCTCCAAGGATGTCAGGGACAAGATTGTAGACCTACACAAGGCTGGAATGGGCTACAAGACCATCGCCAAGCAGCTTGGTGAGAAGATGACAACAGTTGGTGCGATTATTCGCAAATGAAAGAAACACAAAAGAACCGTCAATCTCCCTCGGCCTGGGGCTCCATGCAAGATCTCACCTCGTGGAGTTGCAATGATCATGAGAACGGTGAGGAATCTGCCCAGAACTACATGGGAGGATCTTGTCAATGATCTCAAGGCAGCTGGGACCATAGTCACCAAGAAAACAATTGGTAACACACTACGCCGTGAAGGACTGAAATCCTGCAGTGCCCGCAAGGTCCCCCTGCTCAAGAAAGCACATATACATGCCCGTCTGAAGTTTGCCAATGAACATCTGAATGATTCAGAGGAGAACTGGGTGAAAGTGTTGTGGGCAGATGAGACCAAATTGGAGCTCTTTGGCATCAACTCAACTCGCCGTGTTTGGAGGAGGAGGAATGCTGCCTATGACCCCAAGAACACCATCCCCACCATCAAACATGGAGGTGGAAACATTATGCTTTGGGGGTGTTTTACTGCTAAGGGGACAGAACAACTCCACCGCATCAAAGGGATGATAGACGGGGCCATGTACCATCAAATCTTGGGTGAGAACCTCCTTCCCTCAGCCAGGGCATTGAAAATGGGTCGTGGATGGGTATTCCAGCATGACAATGACCCAAAACACACGGCCAAGGAAACAAAGGAGTGGCTCAAGAAGAAGCACATTAAGGTCCTGGAGTGGCCTAGCCAGTCTCCAGACCTTAATCCCATAGAAAATCTGTGGAGGGAGCTGAAGGTTCGAGTTGCCAAACGTCAGCCTCGAAACCTTAATGACTTGGAGAAGATCTGCAAAGAGGAGTGGGACAAAATGCCTCCTGAGATGTGTGCAAACCTGGTGGTACGTTTATTTGAACAGTGAGAGACAGAATAACAACAAAAAACCCAGAAAAACGAATGTTAAAAATGTTATAAATTGATTTGCATTTTAATGAGGGAAATAAGTATTTGACCTCCTCTCAATCAGAAAGATTTCTGGCTCCCAGGTGTCTTTTATACAGGTAACGAGCTGAGATTAGGAGCACACTCTTAAAGGGAGTGCTCCTAATCTCAGCTTGTTACCTGTATAAAAGACACCTGTCCACAGAAGCAATCAATCAATCAGATTCCAAACTCTCCACCATGGCCAAGACCAAAGAGCTCTCCAAGGAACTACAAGAAACGTCTGACCTCTGTGATTGCCAACAAGGGTTTTGCCACCAAGTACTAAGTCATGTTTTGCAGAGGGGTCAAATACTTATTTCCCTCATTAAAATGCAAATCAATTTATAACATTTTTGACATACGTTTTCTGGATTTTTTTGTTGTTATTCTGTCTCTCACTGTTCAAATAAACCTACCATTAAAATTATAGACAGATCATTTCTTTGTCAGTGGGAAAACGTACAAAATCAGCAGGGGATCAAACACTTTTTTCCCTCACTGTAGCTAGCTAAATAAGTGAAAAAAATACTACAAAATATAGCTAGCTCTCTCTCTCTCGCTTCTCCTTCATTTTTTAGGAAATGCAAGGCAGGTTGACATGCTCAGAGTGTAGATTTATTTACAGGTCTTGGTGATCCAATGGTGAAAGTGCCATGTTATACAAAATATAGTAAATTGACCAAATATACACGGGCAATAGCCCAAAAGAAATATACTCTGTATCAGGCTTAACCTAATCTGAACGGACACTGGTAGAGGGCAAGAAACCAAAAATCAAATCTGTCAAACACAGGAGCTCAAACAGTTAGGCCTACATAATATAAGCACCTGGCCCCCAGGACCATACAATTACCCAATGGGCAATTACAACCAATAAACTGTTTCTACAATGTAAAAGGCAATTTCCACATTCACTGGTACATTAGTCTTAATCAGACTTAATGATTATTAATTATATTTCAACACCATGCATAAATGGAACAATGATTTTGTCTTATTCAACGTTCTGACTCCAAAGCGTGGAGCGCAGGCCACGTAGCCTATTTCTATGTGAACTGAGGCGCGCGCCCGCCCGCTCCTATTATGCACAACCAGAATGACAGAGACATTGGACACAGACACACGGAACTCCGACATAACCCGGAAAATATGAACAAAGGAAACCATACATTGAATTAAATAAACAGAACTTTCACCTCATGAGTCTTGCGAACGTGCATGTGCATGTGCATGTGCACTATAAAAATCACGCCCAATCAGATCAGGTTAACAAATGGTTGGCTAAATGAAAATGTATCTCAGGCCTATCAAACGTGAAACAGAAATGTCTACGCGTTGCAATGAACGGTAAGGGGATGGAATGATGAAACGCTAGCAGTTATTGTAGTATTAGATGGAATATAGATTTCCCACATAAGGCCTATGTATTTAAAGGTGTGAAAGCAACAGCAAACATTTTAACAAGAGAAAAAAAGCATTCTCCACTGGCGGGAGTTTGGAGAGCGCAAGTGAAGAGCAGCGCTATGGTGCGTCTTCGCCATAGTAATAATTAATTTTAACAACAAATTCCAAATTCAAGCTTCATAAGTTAATTATTAATTTAAAGCAATTGTTACATACCAAAGACCAGTAGGCCTGTGCTACTAATTGTTGCCACATTGCTGGTGAGCTTGCAAAGTAAACAGTTAATACTCTTGATCACCAAACAATTTTTGGAGCTGCATATTTATTTACTATGGCAATCCTCTCTTCCTACAATTTGACGTTTTCGCTGCACCTGATCCCATAACTGTACAGCAAATTAGCAATCTGTTGGCTAGCTCACCCGACCTGCGTTGATTGACAGTTTGCTGGTGCAATCAGAGTTCCGGGTGAGCGTTTCATTAGCCAATCTGTTGCAGGTTAATATTGGCTGCTGTATTTAACATTCAGAAAACAAGAGCTTGCGTCCCTCTTTGAATTGTCTATTGGTATAAGAAATGCAAAAACAAAAAAAAGAAATGTCCAGCAAGCTATTCTAGTCTAGCGTTTCCTGCATGGGACTCCAAGAGCTAAGGAGCGTTTTTTAAGGAGAGATAAAGAAAACCCTTGAATACTGTATAAATAGTAATGAGGTAAACACTACCAGTCAAAAGTTTGGACACCTACTCATTCAAGGGGTCTTCTTTATTTTTACAATTTTCTACATTGTAGAATAATAGTGAAGACATCAAAACTATGAAATAACACATATGGAATCATGTAGTAACCAAAAAAGTGTCAAACAAATCAAAATATATTTTAGATTTTAGATTCTTCAAAGTAGCCACCCTTTGCCTTGATGACAGCTTTGAACACTCTTGGCATTCTCTCAACCAGCTTCACAGGGAATGCTTTTCCAACAATCTTGAAGGAGTTCCCACATATGCTGAGCACTTGTTGGCTGCTTTTCCTTCACTCTGCGGTCCAACTCATGCCAAACCATCTCAATTGTGTTGAGGTCGGGTGATTGTGGAGGCCAGGTCATCTGATGCAGCACTCCATCACTCTCCTTCTTGGTCAAATAGCCCTTACACAGCCTGGAGGTGAGTTTTGGGTCATTGTCCTGTTGAAAAACAAATGATAGTCCCACTAAGCGCAAACCAGATGGGATGGCGTATCGCTGCAGAATGCTGTGGTAGCCATGCTGGTTAAGTGTGCCTTGAATTCTAATTAAATCACTGACAGTGTCACCAGCAAAGCACCCCCACACCATCACACCTCCTCCTTCATGCTTCATGGTGGGAACCACACATCCATTCACCTACTCTGTGTCTCACAAAGACACGGCGGTTGGAACCAAAAATCTCAAATTTGGACTCATCAGACCAAAGGACATATTTCCACCGGTCTAATGTCCATTGCTCGTGTTTCTTGGCCCAAGCAAGTCTCTTCTTCGTATTGGTGTTCTTTAGTAGTGGTTTCTTTGCAGCAATTCGACCATGAAGGCCTGATTCATGCAGTCTCCTCTGAACAGTTGAGATGTGTCTGTTACTTGAACTCTGTGAAGCATTATTTGGGCTGCAATTTCTGAGACTGGTAACTCTAATGATCTTATCCTCTACAGCAGAGGTAACTCTGGGTCTTCCATTCCTGTGGCGGTCCTCATGAGAGCCAGTTTCATCATAGCGCTTGATGGTTTTTGCGACTGCATTTGAAGAAACTTTCAAAGTTCTTTACATTTTCCGGATTGACTGACCTTCATGTCTTAAAGTAATGATGGACTGTCATTTCTCCTTACTTATTTGAGATGTTTTTGCCATAATATGGACTTGGTCTTTTACCAAATAGGGCTATCTTCTGTATACCACCCCTACCTTGTCACAACACAACTGATTGGCTCAAACGCATTAAACTCTGCAGCTGCAATAATAAAACAAATCTTTACAATAAAAACAAATTAAGAAGGTGATCCCCGAAAGCCAGATGGAGATGTGTAAATTAGACACGCATTCGGTCCTTATATTACTGTAGCAAAGGCTATGCTGTAGCAAATGTAGGCCTACCTGTCACATGGAAAAAGTTACCATGATGAGATGATACTGTAGGTCTACATGCATTGTGAACTGGACTCCATACTGAGATGGGCTGTCTGTCCCCACCATGAGCATTGATGATTGATCATACAGCGAGCAGAGAGAAGGCCGTAGAGAAGACATATTTAGACATTGCATATAATTTAACAGTTCCATTTCACGTCCCTATTGATATTAATAATTTATTATAATTTACCGGTTTCTCGCAGTTATTTATCTCGGGAAAAGGGAGTGGTTTTGGGCGGTAAATCTCGGTAACCGGGTTCCCGCCATTTAACCCTAGTTGGAGGAGGTCCTCCAGAAATTGTTATAATTACTGTGTAAGTCTATGGAAGGGGGTGAGAACCATGAGCCACCTAGGTTTTGTATTGAAGTCAATGTACCCAGAGGAGGACGGAAGCTAGCTATCCTCCGGCTACACCATAGTGCTACCCTACAGAGGGCTGTTGAGGCTACTGTAGACTTTCATTGCAAAACAGTTTGAGCGAGAGAGAAAAAAACACTAGTGAGGTGGGGAGAGAGAGAGAGAGTGAGAAACTGCAGGAAGTCAAAGAAAGAGTAAAGCCCTAATACAAACACACAGGAATAGCTCCGCCAGGCATGTAGGCTACTCTGACAAACTAATAACTTGCAATGCCAGAGGAAAATTACTTTTCTCTGCCAACGCACCTGTGCAAGCACACTCACACACAAAACCACTATAGCCTCTCAGATCCTTAGCAGCACATTAGCCATCTCCAGAGCTCAGAGAGCTGAGGGCCTTTGAATGTCACTAGAGACATCCTGACTACTGCCACCAGGATGTAGTTGATGTGTCTCCCTAAAGACCCTCTACACCCACACACAGCTTTTACTATGGATGCCGAAATTCCTGAGCAGGGCAACATTATCCATTTATGAGTCAAGTACAGCCTCTTGGCGCGAGAGCTCGTGGTGGGTCATCAATATTGCAAGATCAATTACGTCAGGTTACACATTGCCCTAAAAATTACGCTAAAAAATCCTACTCTGACATTGCTTGATCATGCATGGTCTCTACAACATGCAATATGCCTATTACTCTATTCATAAAGATATAGGCTATGTTAATTATAGTCTGTGAACCTTATAATAATTGACATGTCACTGCCCTACATTCACAGAATAACGTAGCCCATTTCACATTTTAATAGAACAATTGTAGTTAATCTATCTTGCTTTCTGGAGAGTGTGGGTGAGCAACAAAACCAGCCGCCTGTGCGCTGGCTGCAGGCTGTGCACAAACACAACACAGCCTAGCCTACACATGCAGACACAAAACTGATGGCAAGCGCGATCAAAGTTCCTCACTGTCTCTTCCCGTTACTGATGGGTCGGCTGACCTACATCTGTTTACCGATTCTATTTCCCAGCCTGCACCGATAGCAACAATATTATAACCCAACTTAGTTCTAACACTTTCTACATCAAATGCATTTTGTCCGTTCCAGTGAACAATAATAAACCGGTTCCGAGCAAGACCAAATGGAGTATGCAGTAATAAGCTATAATTTTATTTAAAGAATCGGGCCTTGGACACAGATAACTCGTAAAGCCCTTGTGCTTCATCATTGTCATATATTGAGTATCCACTAGTGGCGGCCGGCGGCTCCGTCCAGTCAGTGGTTCGACCATTTCGATTAACGCAATTCTACATATAAAAAAATACATTCAATTAGGGGCAAAAATAAACAGTTTGGTGAGTAAAATTCACATTCTTATGATGAGTTATAAATGTATAGTAAAAACCCTCACCAGCAGTCAGAAATGTAATAGATTTCAGTCTGTCAGCATGTCCCGTTAGATACTCCTCTTGTTCGCGCTGCCATCTGTGTCCCTGGCCGTCTGGCCACTCCAAACGATCCACCGCGGGGGGCGGGATCCGCCGGCAGACTCTGCCTATCAGCATTCAGTAACGGGGATTTAATAAGTAGTGGGTGTTCCCATTGTCAAATCGCAGCCCTTGAAAGGCATGAGTGACATCGAGGTTCCCTGTCGGGCATGGATAGGGCGGGGTCTCAGGGTGTGTAGGGGAGGCTACAGGGGGCTTACCATTTTATGCAATCCAGTCCCCATGCCGTGTTAACGTTAAAGGCTTAAAATAAACACATTTTGGGGGATGGAGGATTTGGCCTACAGTTTAAAAGGGTCTTATAACAGGGGCATCTTTTTAGAGGGTTTTTTGGGAGCAACTGACACGTGGCAGGTTTAATGATAGAGCTGGACTGATTCCATTCTAGCAGCTTTAGTAACTGACTGGGATGACTGCTTGTTTTAGGGAAGCACAAGCTTTGAACTGGGCAAAGGGGGAAGATTATATTTTGTGAGAGGGCAACCTCATCTTCTGTGTAAATGTGTGAGAGCGAGAAAGACCGAAAGAGATATAGCGAAGGAGAGATCGAGAGAGGGCAGTGAATGAGTAATGACAGACCTTAGAGATAAAGAGGACGAACTGGGATTGTTCCATTATTGAAGACACTTCTATTCCTGGAAGAGAACATAACCTGTAAAAAGGCACTCACATAACACACAGAGAGAGACAGAGACAGAGAGAGAAACCCCAATGTCAACATTTCCACTTTTATTGTCAGGATACTTGCGTCATGTAAAATATTTCAATACAGTAAAAATGCATGTTCCATTTGCCATCCTCCACACAATTTGTTGGTTTGTCATCATGGAGTTGTAAGGCTTTGCCCACATCGATAAAAACGGCAGCTCTCTCTCAGCACAACAGAAGCTGCTTCACCACTTTTTATTTTTATACAGTTAGTGAAAACAAAATGGATTAAATTATAAACTCGTAAAATCTTTTTTTTCTTCCTTTGTTTTTGTTAATTTTTTTTCTCAATAAAGCCCTCAACCAGAGCTATGGGCGGGCCCCACTAACTCCCAGAATGCTCCTGTCAGCAGCTCAATTCGGTCCCCAACGAAGATGCCCATGGAAGGGCAGACAGACACAGACAGACAAGAGGACAGACAGGAAGACAGGAAGACAAACAGACAGAGACAGGACAGACAGATACTCTGTCAATGCTGGCAGTCACATAGCAGCTTTAGTCTCATCGAAGCTTCAACAGGAAGAGGGGAATCCGTCTGGAAAGGGGGTGAGCTTTGGTGGAGGTGGTGCGGTAAGGAGAGAAGGGTGAAGGGAGAGGGGAGCCCCAGGTCCATCTTCTGTTTGTTTGTCTTGTGGCTGTAGTTAAGTACCAGTTCTGAAGGTTAACTTTGTAATGGTCACAAACTTGCAGCAACGATGACTTGAACCACAGAGGAACGAACGAGGGAACCAACAAACTGACAGCATCTGTTCTTCCTTCTCCATCTTCCTCTAGTTTGGAGGTTTAGTCTCCATGTGTGGCTCATGGTTGAACTGAAGTCATGTTCTGTCATGGCTAATGTTGTTGCGTTATGTCATGTTCTTTTCAGAATATTATATTTCATACTGGGCTAATTAATGGACTGCTGCAGTGAGGGTGGACCGGTGGGGCGAGGAGGGGGGGCTGTTGCCATGGACACACCCACTTCCCTCAGTACATTCTCCCTAGCGGGCATGGCGAGGGGTGGGTAGAGGTCAGGGGTCAGTAGCGGTGGGTCTGGTGTGAGTACTGCGGGGGCTGCTGGGAGGTAGAGGAGTATCCGATGCTGCTTTGGGGCAGTGATGTGCTTGGTCCGGGGTTCTGGTAGGCAGCATGTGGATTGGAGCGCTGAGAGATAAATAAGGTAACTAATCAGACTCTACATTTACAATTTAGGTTTTTACAATTTGGTATGATTTGGTGGGATAACCCAGAAATCTGCAAAATCATGCTGTATATGGTATTGCGTGTGTGTACCATACCTGGTAGTCTGAGGTCATGAGGCCACTTGAGGTAGTGACGGGTGGGACCACTCGCACCTTCTTTAGGGGCGGGCCCTGGGCATGGCTATTGTCAGGGTTACCGGTGTGCCCCGCCCCGTTGGTGTGGTTGTTCCCCTGCTGCTGCTGGTTCTTCTGGAAAATTAAACAACACCCACCCAAGCCTTCATCAACGGATCACCATACACTAACACACACTGGAAATACACTCAAATGTTTCCCTTAAAAGGCCCAATGCAGCCGTTTTTATATCAATACCAAATAATTTCTGGATAACAATTATGTACCTAACTGTAATACATTTTCATTAAAATGGCGGAAAAATAGCTTTTTAACAAAAAAACTACTTCTCAAGCAAGAAATTTGCTAGGACTGTCATAGGAGTGGTCTGAGTGGGGATGGGAAAACTGACAAACAAGCTGTTATTGGCAGAGAGGTTTGGAACCCTCTTTGTTATTGGTCCATTAACCAATTTACCACAGTGATGTCACCATGGAAAGCTGAAACTCCCGCCCATCACAAACCTGCTGATTAGAAGGTCTTGTGTACATATGATACAAATCACAGGAAAAAAAGAATTGACTTTATACTTTTCATCTATAGTTCACTAAAAACACACACTTAAATGTAATCATATATATATACACTGCTCAAAAAAATAAAGGGAACACTTAAATAACACAATGTAACTCCAAGTCAATCACACTTCTGTGAAATCAAACTGTCCACTTAGGAAGCAAAACTGATTGACAATACATTTCACATGCTGTTGTGCAAATGGAATAGACAACAGGTGGAAATTATAGGCAATTAGCAAGACACCCCCAATAAAGGACTGGTTTTGCAGTTGGTGACCACAGACCACTTCTCAGTTCCTATGCTTCCTGGCTGATGTTTTGGTCACTTTTGAATGCTGGCGGTGCTTTCACTCTAGTGGTAGCATGAGACGGAGTCTACAACCCACACAAGTGGCTCAGGTAGTGCAGCTCATCCAGGATGGCACATCAATGCGAGCTGTGGGAAGAAGGTTTGCTGTGTCTGTCAGCGTAGTGTCCAGAGCATGGAGGCGCCACCAGGAGACAGGCCAGTACATCAGGAGACGTGGAGGAGGCCGTAGGAGGGCAACAACCCAGCAGCAGGACCGCTACCTCCGCCTTTGTGCAAGGAGGAGCAGGGGGAGCACTGCCAGAGTCCTGCAAAATGACCTCCAGCAGGCCACAAATGTGCATGTGTCTGCTCAAACGGTCAGAAACAGACTCCATGAGGGTGGTATGAGGGCCCGACGTCCACAGGTGGGGGTTGTGCTTACAGCCCAACACCGTGCAGGACGTTTGGCATTTGCCAGAGAACACCAAGATTGGCAAATTCGCCACTGGCGCACTGTGCCCTTCACAGATGAAAGCAGGTTCACACTGAGCACGTGACAGACGTGACAGAGTCTGGAGACGCTGTGGAGAACATTCTGCTGCCTGCAACATCCTCCAGCATGACCGGTTTGGCGGTGGGTCAGTCATGGTGTGGGGTGGCATTTCTTTGGGGGGCCGCACAGCCCTCCATGTGCTCGCCAGAGGTAGCCTGACTGCCATTAGGTAACGAGATGAGATCCTCAGACCCCTTGTGAGACCATATGCTGGTGCGGTTGGCCCTGGGTTCCTCCTAATGCAAGACAATGCTAGACTTCATGTGGCTGGAGTGTGTCAGCAGTTCCTGCAAGAGGAAGGCATTGATGCTATGGACTGGCCCGCCCATTCCCCAGACCTGAATCCAATTGAGCACATCTGGGACATCATGTCTCGCTCCATCCACCAACGCCACGTTGCACCACAGACTGTCCAGGAGTTGGCGGATGCTTTAGTCCAGGTCTGGGAGGAGATCCCTCAGGAGACCATCCGCCACCTCATCAGGAGCATGCCCAGGCGTTGTAGGGAGGTCATACAGGCACGTGGAGGCCACACACACGACTGAGCCTCATTTTGACTTGTTTTAAGGACATTACATATAAGTTGGATCAGCCTGTAGTGTGGTTTTCCACTTTAATTTTGAGGGTGACTCCAAATCCAGACCTCCATGGGTTGATAAATTTGATTTCCATTGATATTTTGTGTGTGATTTTGTTGTCAGCACATTCAACTATGTAAAGATAAAAGTATTTAATAAGATTATTTCATTCATTCAGATCTAGGATGTGTTATTTTAGTGTTCCCTTTATTTTTTTGAGCAGTGTATATATACAGTGGGGGAAAAAAGTATTTAGTCAGCCACCAATTGTGCAAGTTCTCCCACTTAAAAAGATGAGAGAGGCCTGTCATTTTCATCATAGGTACACGTCAACTATGACAGACAAAATGAGGAAAAAAAATCCAGAAAATCACATTGTAGGATTTTTTATGAATTTATTTGCAAATTATGGTGGAAAATAAGTATTTGGTCAATAACAAAAGTTTCTCAATACTTTGTTATATACCCTTTGTTGGCAATGACACAGGTCAAACGTTTTCTGTAAGTCTTCACAAGGTTTTCACACACTGTTGCTGGTATTTTGGCCCATTCCTCCATGCAGATCTCCTCTAGAGCAGTGATGTTTTGGGGCTGTCACTGGGCAACACAGACTTTCAACTCCCTCCAAAGATTTTCTATGGGGTTGAGATCTGGAGACTGGCTAGGCCACTCCAGGACCTTGAAATGCTTCTTACGAAGCCACTCCTTCGTTGCCCGGGCGGTGTGTTTGGGATCATTGTCATGCTGAAAGACCCAGCCACGTTTCATCTTCAATGCCCTTGCTGATGGAAGGAGGTTTTCACTCAAAATCTCACGATACATGGCCCCATTCATTCTTTCCTTTACACGGATCAGTCGTCCTGGTCCCTTTGCAGAAAAACAGCCACAAAGCATGATGTTTCCACCCCCATGCTTCACAGTAGGTATGGTGTTCTTTGGATGCAACTCAGCATTCTTTGTCCTCCAAACACGACGAGTTGAGTTTTTACCAAAAAGTTATATTTTGGTTTCATCTGACCATATGACATTCTCCCAATCCTCTTCTGGATCATCCAAATGCACTCTAGCAAACTTCAGACGGGCCTGGACATGTACTGGCTTAAGCAGGGGGACACGTCTAGCACTGCAGGATTTGAGTCCCTGGCGGTGTAGTGTGTTACTGATGGTAGGCTTTGTTACTTTGGTCCCAGCTCTCTGCAGGTCATTCACTAGGTCCCCCCGTGTGGTTCTGGGATTTTTGCTCACCGTTCTTGTGATCATTTTGACCCCACGGGGTGAGATCTTGCGTGGAGCCCCAGATCGAGGGAGATTATCAGTGGTCTTGTATGTCTTCCATTGCCTAATAATTGCTCCCACAGTTGATTTCTTAAAACCAAGCTGCTTACCAATTGCATATTCAGTCTTCCCATCCTGGTGCAGGTCTACAATTTTGTTTCTGGTGTCCTTTGACAGCTCTTTGGTCTTGGCCATAGTGGAGTTTGGAGTGTGACTGTTTGAGGTTGTGGACAGGTGTCTTTTATACTGATAACAAGTTCAAACAGGTGCCATTAATACAGGTAACGAGTGGAGGACAGAGGAGCCTCTTAAAGAAGAAGTTACAGGTCTGTGAGAGCCAGAAATCTTGCTTGTTTGTAGGTGACCAAATACTTATTTTCCACCATAATTTGCAAATAAATTCATTAAAAATCCTACAATGTGATTTTCTGGAGAAAAAAAATCTAAATTTGTCTGTCATAGTTGACGTGTACCTATGATGAAATTTACAGGCCTCTCTCATCTTTTTAAGTGGGAGAACTTGCACAATTGGTGGCTGACTAAATACTTTTTTTCCCCACAGTATATATATATATATACATACATACAGTGGGGAGAACAAGTATTTGATACACAGACGATTTTGCAGGTTTTCCTACTTACAAAGCATGTAGAGGTCTGTAAAATTTTATCATAGGTACACTTCAACTGTGAGAGACGGAATCTAAAACAAAAATCCAGAAAATCACATTGTATGATTTTTAAGTAATTAATTTGCATGTTATTGCATGACATAAGTATTTGATCACCTACCAACCAGTAAGAATTCCAGCTCTCACAGACCTGTTCGTTTTTCTTTAAGAAGCCCTCCTGTTCTCCACTCATTACCTGTATTAAGTGCACCTGTTTGAACTCATTACCTGTATAAAAGACTCCTGTCCACACACTCAATCAAACAGACTCCAACCTCTCCACAATGGCCAAGACCAGAGAGCTGTGTAAGGACTTCAGGGATAAAATTGTAGCCCTGTACAAGGCTGGGATGGGCTACAGGACAATAGGCAAGCAGCTTGGTGAGAAGGCAACCACTGTTGGCGCAATTATTAGAAAATGGAAGAAGTTCAAGATGACGGTCAATCGCCCTCGGTCTGGGGCTCCATGCAAGATCTCACCTCGTGGGGCATCAATGATCATGAGGAAGGTGAGGGATCAGCCCAGAACTACACGGCAGGACCTGGTCAATGACCTGAAGAGAGCTGGGACCACAGTCTCAAAGAAAAGCATTAGTAACACACTACGCCGTCATGGATTAAAATCCTGCAGTGCACGCAAGGTCCCCCTGCTCAAGCCAGCGCATGTCCAGGCCCGTCTGAAGTTTGCCAATGACCATCTGGATGATCCAGAGGAGGAATGGGAGAAGGTCATGTGGTCTGACAAAAATAGAGCTTTTTGGTCTAAACTCCACTCGCTGTGTTTGGAGGAAGAAGAAGGATGAAGCATGGATGTGGAAACATCATTCTTTGGGGATGCTTTTCTGCAAAGGGGTCAGGACGACTGCACCGTATTGAGGGGAGGATGGATGGGGCCATGTATCGCGAGATCTTGGCCAACAACCTCCTTCCCTCAGTAAGAGCATTGAAGATGGGTCGTGGCTGGGTCTTCCAGCATGACAACGACCCGAAACACACAGCCAGGGCAACTAAGGAGTGGCTCCGTAAGAAGCATCTCAAGGCCAGTCTCCAGACCTGAACCGAATAGAAAATCTTTGGAGGGAGCTGAAAGTCCGTATTGCCCAGCGACAGCCCCGAAACCTGAAGGATCTGGAGAAGGTCTGTATGGAGGAGTGGGCCAAAATCCCTGCTGCAGTGTGTGCAAACCTGGTCAAGACCTACAGGAAACGTATGATCTCTGTAATTGCAAACAAAGGTTTCTGTACCAAATATTAAGTTCTGCTTTTCTGATGTATCAAATACTTATGTCATGCAATAAAATGCTAATGAATTACTTAAAAATCATACAATGTGATTTTCAGGATTTTTGCATGAATTTTTTTTTTTACAGACCTCTACATGCTTTGTAAGTAGGAAAACCTGAAAAATCGGCAGTGTATCAAATACTTGTTCTCCCCACTGTATATACACACACACACACACACACACATATACATACACACATATACATACATTTGAGTCATTTAGCAGACGCTCTTATCCAGAACGACTTACAGTTAGTGAGTGCATACATTTTCATACTGGTCCCCCGCGGGAATCGAACCCACAACCCTGGCGTTGCAAGCGCCATGCTCTACCAACTGAGCTACAGGAGGGCCAATACCACACAGTACACCAGTCAAATGTTTGGACACACCTACTCATTCAAGGGTTTTTCTTGATTTTTACTATTTTCTACATTGTAGAATAATAGTGAAGACATCAAAGCTATGAAATAACACATATGGAATCATGTAGTAACCAAAAAAGTGTTAAACAAATCAAAATATATTTTATATTTGAGATTCTTCAAAGTAGCCACCCTTTGCCTTGTTGACAGCTTTGCACACTCTTGGCATTCTCTCAACCAGCTTCATGAGGTAGTCACCTGGAATGCATTTCAATTAACAGGTGTGCCTTGTTAAAAGTTAATTTAAAGAATCTCTTTCCTTCTTAATGCGTTTGAGCCAATCAGTTGTGTTGTGACAAGGTAGGGGTGGTATACAGAAGATGTCCATATTATGGCAAGAACAGCTCAAATAAGCAAAGAGAAACGACAGTCCATCATTACTTTAAGACATGAAGGTCAGTCAATCCGGAAAATGTCAAGAACTTTGAAAGTTTCTTCAAGTGCAGTTGCAAAAACCATCAAGCGCTATGATAAAACTGGCTCTCATGAGGACCGCCACAGGAATGGAAGACCCAGAGTTACCTCTGCTGTAGAGGATACGATCATTAGAGTTACCAGTCTCAGAAATTGCAGCCCAAATAATGCTTCACAGAGTTCAAGTAACAGACACATCTCAACTGTTCAGAGGAGACTGCGTGAATCAGGCCTTCATGGTCGAATTGCTGCAAAGAAAACCACTACCAAAAGGACACCAATAAGAAGAAGAGACTTGCTCGGGCCAAGAAACACGAGCAATGGACATTAGACCAGTGGAAATCTGTCCTTTGGTCTGATGAGTCCAAATTTGAGATTTTTGGTTCCAACCGCCTTGTCTTAGTGAGACGCAGAGTAGGTTAACGGATGATCTCCGCATGTGTGGTTCCCACCGTGAAGCATGGAGGAGGAGGTGTGATGGTGCTTTGCTGGTGACACTGTCAGTGATTTATTTAGAATTCAAGGCACACTTAACCAGCATGGCTACCACAGCATTCTGCAGCGATACGCCACCCATCTGGTTTGTGCTTAGTCGGACTATCATTTGTTTTTCAACAGGACAATGACCCAAAACACACCTCCAGGCTGTGTAAGCGCTATTTGACCAAGAAGGAGAGTGATGGAGTGCTGCATCAGATGACCTGGCCTCCACAATCACCCGACCTCAACACAATTGAGATGGTTTGGCATGAGTTGGACCGCAGAGTGAAGGAAAAGCAGCCAACAAGTGCTCAGCATATGTGGGAACTCCTTCAAGACTGTTGGAAAAGCATTCCTCATGAAGCTGGTTGAGAGAATGCCAAGAGTGTGCAAAGCTGTCATCAAGGCAAAGGGTGGCTACTTTGAAGAATCTCAAATATATTTTGATTTGTTTAACACTTTTTTGGTTACTACATGATTCCATGTGTTATTTCATAGTTTTGATGTCTTCACTATTATTCTACAATGTAAAAAATAGCAAAACCCTTGATTGAGTAGTTGTGTCCATACTTTTGACTGGGTAGGTGTGTATATACAGAACCAGTCAAAAGTTTGGACACACATTCAAGGGTTTTTCTTTATTTTGACAATTTTTTACATTGTAGAATAATAGTGAAGACATCAAAACTATGAAATAACACATATGGAATCATGTAGTAACCAAAAATGTGTTAAACAAATCAAATATATATATATTTTAAATCACACTATCCCAGACCCAAATGTAAAAGGTATGAGGCACTCACATTTCTGACTTTCTCTGCCTTGTCCTCTGGCTCCTCCTCTGTCAGGAACTCCCTCTTGGGGTAGGGGATCTGGCAGCCTGCAAACACACTGAGTGAGAAATACAAAGAATTATCAATCACTTATCTTACAGGATATACCCCCACATAACCCCAGACATGTAGTAATACATGTGGTACTCCGTTCTGCCACCTCTGGTCTCTTGGCCATCCCACCCCTACCGGGGGTCAGCTCCCGCTCAGCCCAGTAAAAGCTATTTTCTGTCCTGGCACCCAATGGTGGAACCAGCTTCCCCTTAACGTCAGGACAGCGGAGTCCCTGCCCATCTTCCAAAAATGTTTCAAACCCTACCTCTTCAAAGCAGTGGAGGCTCCTCAGAGGAGGAAGGGGAGGACCATCCTCCTCAATGAATTTCATAAAAATTGTTACACATAAAAAGAAGTTAACCTTTTTAGATAAAACTATACTAAATATAATCACGTCACCAAATAACTGATTAAAACACACTATTTTGCAAAGAAGGTCTACAGTAGCCTCAACAGCACTCTGTAGGGTAGCATCATGGTGTAGCCGTAGGACAGCTAGCTTCCGTCCTCCTCTGGGTACACTGACTTCAATACAAAACCTAGGAGGCTCATGGTTCTCACCCCCTTCAATAGACTTACACAGTAATTATGACAACTTCTGGAGGAAGCAAACGGAACAAAACCGGGACAAACATACCTGAATTTGTCCAATAGAAACTCTTGTTTACAACTGTTAGACTAATGATTACACCCTATATCAGCTAGATGCAGGCAAGAGTGTGCAAGGCGGTATTAAATGTCACTGTCTGTCACCTCAAATTTGTCTCTCGACCTCTGTGCACCTACGTTGAAAACTTTAATTCACAGGCTAGGTTGTAGCAAGCTCATGGTGGGTGTAGGGAAAATTCAAGTATCATGTAGTAGCCTAAACCTATCGCTGTTACATTGAACTGGGTGAATGGAATATGAATGAGAGTCATCCAATATGCTGTAATAGAAATAAGGCCATGCGCATGAAAAAATATCATCCTCCCTCATCTTAAACGGCACTGACCGCCACTGCTTCAAAGAGTATCTTAAATAAAACTCCCCCCAAAAAACCTGCACTTGTCTTTTTCTACTGGCACTGACATTGCATATAACTACTTTATTGAAGTAAAATGTACTTACTACGACTGGGATGTGGTTGTCTCACTTCGCCATCTTAAGATGAATGAACTTAAGTCGCTTTGGATAAGAGTGTCTGCTAAATGACTAAAATGTTTTAAAAAATCTAATAATAAATGTATGTTGTAATACATGTAGTAATAAATGTGGTAATACATGTAGTAATAAATGTTAATGTTGTAATACATGTAGTAATAAGTGTTAAAACGTTGTAATAAGTGTTAAAATGTTGTAATACATGTAGTAAATGTGTTATAATGTAGTAATAAATGTGTTATATGTTTTATTAGGGTCTTGACTCACTCGGAGGTGGGCAGTGGTTCCTCCAGGAAGTAAGGGTCCTGCATGGCCTGCTCAGACGTGATCCTGCGGATCGGGTCCATGGTCAGCAGCTTCTGGAGCTAAACACAACGTTAGACACATCATGAGTAAAACACAGGGAACGTTCATACAACGTCAGACTGAACAATGCTACAGTATGTAACAACAATCTCAAGGCAACGTTAGACTGAGAAAACAAATTTTAACTCACCAAGTGGAATGCTTTGCTGTCCGGTTTCACTTTGTGTTTCTCCATGTATTTTATTAGGCTGCAGTTTGTATACCTGTGATACAAGAAGGTGTTATTTCAGTTTGTATACCTGTGATACAAAAAAGTGTTATTTCAGTGGATAAGTAGAGGACATATCCAATCTTAAAATCCTAAAATTGATCTTGTCCAGAGCTGGCAGGAAGCATGCAGGCAGTCAGGCACGCACGTAGAGAGAAAGCCACTCACGTGTTCCTTCTGAAGTCTTTCATCAGAGTGGAGTGCTCTGGCATCTTCTTGATGTCTTCCCAGTCCTTTTCTGAGGATTACGTCAAAAGACTGTCAGCGAGTGCTTGTACAGAACCGACAGATTGCTTTGGGCTCATACAAGCCCGGACAGAATAGAACTGTGCCTGGTCATGGTTTAATTACACTCGTCATTCAGTATTCTCTTTAATTTACAGTTTCCTTAATAATTTCACACATACAAGCGCCCATTTCAATGCACATAGGCATGTCCTGATAAGTTATGGGAGTACCCAGCCCTCATGGGGAACTCTCTATACCCAGGATTTGATACCAGCAACCCCCTGGTTGCCAGCTCACTTCCCAAAATATGTTTTTCGTCAGACCCTGGATTCGAACAGGCAACCCTCCAACGGCTAGGCTACCTGCCGCCAAGCCCAGCCCAGCTCTCTCACCAGCGGGGAAGCCCATGACGTTGAAGATGCGGTCCAGCTGGTCGTGGTGGTAGGGGTTACTGGTCTTGATGTCCTCTTGGCGACAGTGGAAGATGGGCTCAGACGTCAACAGCTCGGCAAAGATGCAGCCAATCGCCCAGATGTCTGACAGATGCACAGGCAAGATTAGAGATGTCACACTGTGTTCGAGCACACGCCCACTCAGAGACACCCTCTTGAACATACTTGCACAAACATGCACGCACACACACACAGCAGAATTTGTCCTAGGATGGTGGTAGGATAGCTCAGAACTTTCTCTCTTGGTGCACAGGGCAAACACACACACATGCACCCCATGGCTGTTCTCACCGATGGCTTTGGTGTAGTGCCTGGCCCCCAGCAGCAGCTCTGGTGCCCTGTACCAGAAGGTGACCACCACAGGGTCCAGATCTGCTAAAGGCTTCAGTGGTGAGTTAAAGAGGCGGGCAAAGCCCATATCCGCTGTAGAGCAACACAACACACAAATCAATAAATAACATGATAATGTAGTATAATGTTCAAATAATGTGTAATGAGAAGTGAATTAACTATATCCATTATATGTACTGACATAAAGCCTTATACCTTCTATATAGTGACATAGAGCTGAGAAAACACGCGATGAGATTTCGTCTTACCGATCTTTACTCGACCCCTCTCTGGCCCCTCCCCCATCACTAGGATGTTGGCAGGTTTCTGAGGAAAAACAGATTACAGTTAAAGCGGCAATTAGCAGTTGAAAGAATAACAATGCTTCCTGCCCGCCACTGTTTTGCTCAAAATCTGAGGCATGGGGTCGGAGAAATGTAACAACTCTCAAATTCATAGACAGAGCTATGGATGCAAGGACTGACCACCCATGATATCAAAATGTGTATTTCACCATGTTTTGCGGCTATACAGCGTTTGCTTACATTTACTTTGTTTAGAAACATTGGAGTAAAACAAGCTCAGATTTTGGGTTCTGATGGGGTACAACAGTTGAACTACGCTCTTGAGGCATTTATTAGTTAAATTCTTCAAGAATCAATGGGTACATATCATTAATTTATAAGTCCAAAATTGATGTAGCTACTGCAGATTGCCCCTTTAATGTCATCCAAATATTTACTTCTGTTATCCTAATACCCACACTGATAACACATTAACAGAAAGGAATTAAAGATTTGTTTGGCATCATAACGCTGAATCAAATGTGAATGGTTCAGGAAGTTTCAATGCTGCTCTCTGGTGGAGTAACAATGAACATTCATTACAGCCAGGAGAGCAGGAGGAAAGGACCCCCTTCTCCTCCTCCATTCTGCTCTCTCCTCCTCCTCCCTTCTGCTCTCCTCCCCTCTCCTCCCTTCTGCTCTCTCCTCCTCCTCCCTTCTGCTCTCTCCACCCTTCCCTTCTGCTCTCCTCCCCTCCCTTCTGCTCTCTCCACCCTTCCCTTCTGCTCCTCCCTTCTGCTCTCTCCTCCCCTCCCTCATCCTCTCCACCACTTCCTCACTCCCTAGATCTCTGTGTAGGACCCAGGTGGCGTGCAGGAAACAGACACCCAGTCTCCTCCCCTCTCCTTCCTCAGTTTCTCACCAGGTCTCTGTAGGACCCAGTTTGCATGCAGGAAATGCCCCCTCTCCTTCTCTCCCACCCTCCCTTCTTCTCCTCTACCTCGTTCCCTCACTCCCTAGATCTTTGTGTAGGACCCAGTTGGCGTGCAGGAAATGGATACCCTCTCTCCTCTCCCTCCCCTCTTCCGTCTCTCACCAGGTCTCTGTGTAGGACCCAGTTGGCGTGTAGGTAATGGATGCCGTCCAGGATCTGGTAGAGCAGGGACTTGACCATCCCCCTGGGCAGCTGCAGGGGCTTCTTATTAGCCTTGGACGCTCTGTGGAACTTTATGATGTGCTGTGGATACAGGGGGCATCGTTAGTTTGTTTGTGTGTATGTATTACTATCCTCGTGGGTACCGTAAATCCCACAAGGATAGTAAAACAAGGAAAATTCTCCCTTGTGGAAACATTTCCCAGGTCCCCACGAGGACAAAGGCTATTTCAGGTTTAGGGGTGAGGTTTAGGTTTACAATTAGGATTAGAATTAGGGGTTAAAGTTAGGGAAAATAGGATATTGAATGGAAATCAAATGTAGGTCCCCACAAGGATAGTGAAACATACAGTATGTGTGTCTTACCCAAAGATCATGCTCGGCATAGTCGAAGAGCAGCCAGACTTTGCGGTCTGCGTGTGACAGGAACACCTTCTGCAGTGAGATCACATTAGGATGCTTCAGCTCCCGCAGTAGCTAGAAGAAGAGGAAACATTCATTCACACACACATTATGGGATGTCTCACAGACCCAGGTTAAGCCTGCTCTTGAGCTAAACACACTTACTGCAATCTCTCTGCAGGCGGACATGGAGATGCCAGTGCCTTCAATCTGCTTGAGGGCGTAGTCCTTATCATCCTTCCTGAAGACAGAGAAAAGATACAGCATCAACCCCAGTTCACTACAGTTCCCATGGGGCCTTACTACACTGAGACATAAAGGAGGCCGGCTGGCAGCTGGTGGTAGAGGAGTGGCTGTGAGAAGAGGGAAACATGCTTCAATAACCTCCCAATTTAAATAAAAGGTTATTGGTCGTGTACACATATTTTGCAGATGTTATCGCAGGTGCTGCGAAATACTTGTTTCTAGCTCCAACAGTGCAGTAATACCTAACAATACAAAACACACAACATTTTGCAAATGTATTACAAATAAAAAAACTGAAATATCACATTTACTTAAGTATTCAGACCCTTTACTCAGTACTTTGTTGAAGCACCTTTGGCAGCGATTACATTTATTATTAGATTTTTTTTACATTTTAGTCATTTAGCAGACACTCTTATCCAAAGCGACTTAAGTTCATTCATCTTAAGATGGCAAAGTGAGACAACCACATCCCAGTCGTAGTAAGTACATTTTACTTCAATAAAGTAGTTATATGCAATGTCAGTGCCAGTAGAAAAAGACAAGTGCAGGTTTTTTGGGGGGAGTTTTATTTAAGATACTCTTTGAAGCAGTGGCGGTCAGTGCCGTTTAAGATGAGGGAGGATGATATTTTTTCATGCGCATGGCCTTATTTCTATTACAGCATATTGGATGACTCTCATTCATATTCCATTCACCCAGTTCAATGTAACAGCGATAGGTTTAGGCTACTACATGATACTTGAATTTTCCCTACACCCACCATGAGCTTGCTACAACCTAGCCTGTGAATTAAAGTTTTCAACGTAGGTGCACAGAGGTCGAGAGACAAATTTGAGGTGACAGACAGTGACATTTAATACCGCCTTGCACACTCTTGCCTGCATCTAGCTGATATAGGGTGTAATCATTAGTCTAACAGTTGTAAACAAGAGTTTCTATTGGACAAATTCAGGTATGTTTGTCCCGGTTTTGTTCTGTTTGCTTCCTCCAGAAATTGTCATAATTACTGTGTAAGTCTATTGAAGGGGGTGAGAACCATGAGCCTCCTAGGTTTTGTATTGAAGTCAGTGTACCCAGAGGAGGAGGGAAGCTAGCTGTCCTCCGGCTACACCATGATGCTACCCTACAGAGTGCTGTTGAGGCTACTGTAGACCTTCTTTGCAAAATAGTGTGTTTTAAATCGGTTATTTGGTGACGTGATTATATTTAGTATAGTTTTATCTAAAAAGGTTAACTTCTTTTTATGTGTAACAATTTTTATGAAATTCATTGAGGAGGATGGTCCTCCCCTTCCTCCTCTGAGGAGCCTCCACTGCTTTGAAGAGGTACAGTGGGGGAAAAAAGTATTTAGTCAGCCACCAATTGTGCAAGTTCTCCCACTTAAAAATATGAGAGAGGCCTGTCATTTTCATCATAGGTACACGTCAACTATGACAGACAAAATGAGGAAAAAAAATCCAGAAGATCACATTGTAGGATTTTTATTGAATTTATTTGCAAATGATGGTAGAAAATAAGTATTTGGTCACCTACAAACAAGCAAGATTTCTGGCTCTCACAGACCTGTAACTTCTTCTTTAAGAGGCTCCTCTGTCCTCCACTCGTTACCTGTATTAATGGCACCTGTTTGAACTTGTTATCAGTATAAAAGATACCTGTCCACAACCTCAAACAGTCACACTCCAAACTCCACTATGGCCAAGACCAAAGAGCTGTCAAAGGACACCAGAAACAAAATTGTAGACCTGCACCAGGCTGGGAAGACTGAATCTGCAATAGGTAAGCAGCTTGGTTTGAAGAAATCAACTGTGGGAGCAATTATTAGGAAATGGAAGACATACAAGACCACTGATAATCTCCCTCGATCTGGGGCTCCACGCAAGATCTCACCCCGTGGGGTCAAAATGATCACAAGAACGGTGAGCAAAAATCACAGAACCACACGGGGGGACCTAGTGAATGACCTGCAGAGAGCTGGGACCAAAGTAACAAAGCCTACCATCAGTAACACACTACGCCGCCAGGGACTCAAATCCTGCAGTGCCAGACGTGTCCCCCTGCTTAAGCCAGTACATGTCCAGGCCCGTCTGAAGTTTGCTAGAGTGCATTTGGATGATCCAGAAGAGGATTGGGAGAATGTCATATGGTCCAATAGAACGTTTTGGTAAAAACTAAACTCGTCGTGTTTGGAGGACAAAGAATGCTGAGATGCATCCAAAGAACACCATACCTACTGTGAAGTATGGGGGTGGAAACATCATGCTTTGGGGCTGTTTTTCTGCAAAGCGACAAGGACGACTGATCCGTGTAAAGGAAAGAATGAATGGGGCCATGTATCGTGTGATTTTGAGTGAAAACCTCCTTCCATCAGCAAGGGCATTGAAGATGAAATGTGGCTGGGTCTTTCAGCATGACAATGATCCCAAACACACCGCCCGGGCAACGAAGGAGTGGCTTCGTAAGAAGCATTTCAAGGTCCTGGAGTGGCCTAGCCAGTCTCCAGATCTCAACCCCATAGAAAATCTTTGGAGGGAGTTGAAAGTCTGTGTTGCCCAGCGACAGCCCCAAAACATCACTGCTCTAGAGGAGATCTGCATGGAGGAATGGGCCAAAATACCAGCAACAGTGTGTGAAAACCTTGTGAAGACTTACAGAAAACTTTGACCTGTATCATTGCCAACAAACGGTATATAAAAGTATTGAGAAACTTTTGTTATTGACCAAATACTTATTTTCCACCATAATTTGCAAATAAATTCATTAAAAATCCTACAATGTGATTTTCTGGATTTTTTTTCCTCATTTTGTCTGTCATAGTTGACGTGTACCTATGATGAAAATTACAGGCCTCTCTCATCTTTTTAAGTGGGAGAACTTGCACAATTGATGGCTGACTAAATACTTTTTTCCCCCACTGTATACAACATATCTTCTAAGAGTTTAATTCGGGAGATGGTAACTCGTTAAACAACTTCTTCCGTGGTGCCCCAAATTCCTAATGAGTTAATTGTTACATGATTAATTTAATCGAGTGACAATGAAACATAAGTTAGGTGATTTGAATAATAACACTCATACATTAAATTAAGTCACATCACGACAACAGTATATGAATAGAAAAGGTATGTACAGCAGTAGTTAAATAGGATGAGCCACTATAATACAGTATATACATATGAAGTGGGTAAAACAGCATGTAAACATTCACCAGTGTTCAATGACTATGTACATAGGGCAGCAGTCTCTAAGATGCAGGGTAGAGTACTGGGTGGTAGCAGGCTAGTTGGGACCATTTAACAGTCTGATGGCCTGAAGAAATAAGCAGTTTTTCAGTCTCTCGGTCCCAGCTTTGATGCACCTGTACTGTCTCTGCCTTCTAGGTGGTAGCAGAGTGAACAGGCTGTGGCTCAGGTCCTTGATGGTCTTCTTGGCCTTCCTTTGACACCGGGTGCTGTAGATGTTCTGGAGGGCAGGCAGTGTGCCCCCGGTGATGCGTTGGGCTGACCGCACCACCATCTGGAGAGCACTGTGGCTACAGACGTTGCAATTGCCATACCAGGCGGTAATACAGCCTGACAGGATCCTCTCAATGGTGCATCTGTAGAAGTTTGTGAGGGTCTTAGGGGCCAAGCCAAATTTCTTCAGCCTCCTGAGGTTGAAGAGGCGCGCTGTTGCCACCATTTCAGGTTGTCAGTGATGTGCACACTGAGGAACTTGAAGCTTTTCACCCTCTCCGCTGTGGACCTGTCGATGTGGACCTCCTGTTTCTGCTATCTCCTGAAGTCCACAATCCGCTCCTTCGTTTTGTTGACGTTGAGGGAGAGGTTATTTTCCTGGCACCACTCCGCCAGGGCTCTTGTCATTGGTAAATCAGGCCTACCACTGTTGTGTCATTTGCAAACTTGATGATTGAGTTGGAGACATGCATGGCTACGCAGTCATGGGTGAACAGGGAGTACAGGAGAGGGCTGAGCACGCACCCTTTTGAGGCCCCCGTTTTGAGGATCAGCGTAGCGGAGGTGTTGTTGCCTACCTTTACCACCTGGGGGCGTCCTGTCAGGAAGTCCAGGACCCAGTTGCACAGGGCGGGGTTCAGCCCCAGGCCCCCGAGATTAGTGATGAGCTTGGAAGGCACTATGGTGTTGAAGGCTGGGCTGTAGTCCAGATGGGATAGGGCAGTGTGCAGTGCGATGAGTCATCCGTGGATCTGTTGGGGCGGTATACAAATTGTATTGGGTCTAGTGTTTCGGCTAAGGTCGAGGTGATATGATCCTTAACTAGGCTCTCAAAGCACTTCTTGGGCACAGGAACAATGGTGGACATCTTGAAGCAAGTGGGGACAACAGACTGGGATAGGGAGAGATTGAATATGTCCGTAAACACTCCAGCCAGCTGGTCTGCACATGCTCTGAGGATGCGGTTTGGGATGTCGCATGGGCCAGCAGCCTTGCGAGGGATAACATGACGTCTTACTCACGTCGGCCACAGAGAATGAGAGGTCACGCAGTAGCTCTTTTTCCAATGGTCAAATTAACTCAAAGATTGGTCTCGGGTACTGTATAAAAAACCTACAACTACATACATGTGAGAAGGGTCACCTTCTCACATGTATGTAGTTGTAGGTTTTTTATACAGTACCCGGTGACCCTTCTTTATACAGTACCCGGTGACCCTTCTCACATGTATGTAGTTGTAGGTTTTTTTATACAGTACCCGTGACCCTTCTTTATACAGTACCCGGTGACCCTTCTCACATGTATGCATTCACTTTTCAGAATTAGAAGATGTGTGGGCACAGGATGAATATTGTAAATAGATATCTGCCACATGGGATTAGAACTCACAACCATTAAATATGAGCCAACTGTCATAGTAGACTGTGCCACCAATCAATCACCAATATAAAAGCATAATCCTCATAGCCTATGTTTTTTTCTCTTTGTAAAAGCACATAGATGTGCATAAAACAGTAAGCAAAAACGTTGAATTTGGTCATATGTGGAAATGTGCCTTACCATCTTTTGAATTTTGTGTAACATCTAGTCAAGGAAGCATCGTGCTAAATATATTGGCACACTCCACTTACCAAGACCATTGCCAAATAAGGTGCGCTGTCAACTACTTTTATAGTAAGCCTTGAGGTGGTACCACCCAGCACAACTAGAAGGTAGTGTATTTCATACCGAACCCCTCCCTTGAGATGACGTAGAGGCCACTATCACGATTTCAATGGTAGAGTTGAACCGCTATTTAACTAGGCAAATCAGTTAAGAACAATTTAGCAGACGCTCTTATCCAGAGCGACTTACAAATTGGTGCATTCAACTTATGATAGCCAGTGGGACAACCACCTTTTTTTTATGGGGGGTGGGGTAAGAAGAATTACTTTATACTATTCCAGGTATTCCTAAAAGAGTTACTACTAAAATACAAAAATATCACTTTTGCATCGAACTGTCAAAATGAAGACCATATTGACGTGTTTCACTATAACTAAGCCTAAAACATCTGGTTTTCCATTAAACTTTTTTTCTCCATAAAAATGTTACTCTTTAATATGGAGACACTCCATCTTAACTCCTCCTCCACATTTACTGGATTGGTTAACAGTGCGAAAGAGAACCTCCCCCAACAGTTTTTTATTCTTCTTGTCAAGTCCAGTATGTAGGGATCTCGTTTCAGGCGTTTATTTTACGTCTGCTACGTAGGTTAGCCTCTGGCTTGCTTGGCTGCGTCAGTGATAGGCTGGCCTACTTCACTCAGTTGTTGATATTGCTGCGAAAATGATAAAAATCTCGAAATATAAAAATAACAGCATAATCTGATAGCGAAATATATCCTCAGAATTCGGTTTAGAGCAAAAACTGTTTCCTGGCTGCAATACCCCCACGTGACCTGTTACAACATCCCCCGTTCTGTTTCATCCCTTATAAAAACTATGCTTGATCGAACTGCATCCCACGATGTCAAGTTTAGCTGATGGATTTAGCGTACACATTGTACCGTTGTTAGCACGGGGATGGGCCACTGATGTCAGTACTCAAATCGAGCCAGTACATTTTGTCAGTCCTCAAATAGAGACAGTACATCTTGTCAGTGCTCAAATCGAGACTGTACATTTTGTCAGTGCTCAAATCGAGACAGTACATTTTGTCATGGAGCTCGAGACCCCGTTCTCCAGGTGATTTGACGTCTCCTGAGTGTATTCAGTGGATTCTTCAATTTACTAGTGATTTTCATCGCAATGCGAGTTACAAATAGCATTCGGAGAGGGGGCCTTGAAAACAGGAGCAATTAACGAAGACAACTGAGTTTTATTTGGAGACCGGCGGACCTGAAGGCCTTCTTCCTGGCTAGATCATTATAAACTCACCCATCTTTTCTCTTTGCTTTATATACATGGCCGTAGGTGCCTCTTCCCACTTTGCATCCCTCATATTCAAACAGGTCCTCTACACGTTCTCTCTCTCCGGTCAGCATCACTTTGAAATCATAGTCCATCTTCTCTGTTGTTTTGGTTGGTCAATTATCTTCTGCTTCCTTTTAAAGCGCCGCTTGGGAGGCAACTTATTTCACAACCCCGGTTAGAATTTAGTGTTGCCTTCCCTCGCGTCGCTCTCTCCTCAGCCCTGTTTCCACATTTAATCGCTCGGTTTATGTGTACCAGAGAAGATGCAGGGTTCTTATCCGCGACGAAGGGCCAGGTATGGGCACGATTACTACCCCGTCTTCTCTTGCTACTGCGTTTCTCCAACCGGTATCTCACTGGGGAGAACAGAAAATCCACGCACGGCTTTGTCGTAAAATGTCGTTATGTAGACTGCACAGAAAGGAACGGGAGAAAAGTGATAAGCGCACCACGTGGATTTTAACTCTTTGTAATGTGAAGGGGTTAAAATTCACACAAAAACATATCGTATTCTGCTCAAAACTTTGGTACTGGCATCTCTGTAGCCAGTTTAAAATGTCCCCCCTTCACATTTTATGACAATTACTCCACTCCTTAATCATAAATTGATGTTGGATGTCCAAAATTAGACCATTCTGGCATCTAATAAAGGCACATAGACTAGTCAAGGTACGCGCACAGACGTTGAAAAATATGTAATTGTCATTTTCCAAGGCTATTTTGTGGGCTATACCTCATCTAGAATAATTCAGACTGCGGGGAGAAAATGATCTACTGCGTGATTTTATGTAAAATATTTTGTGAAAAAGAACCAGTTGGAAATTGTAAACAGTTGTCTTCACAGTTAAACAAATATTAATAAATATATACATTGATTGAAACACAACAATTAGCTGTTTTAATCCTCGTAGTCGTGCGGTTTCGTTGGGTAGGAACAAATCTGACACTGATAGTATTTGGTCGGACAGCGCGATGTGTAGCACAAGTGGTCCCATCTTGGCTACATTGTAATCAGAGCGGAGAGGAAAGCAAACCCGTCCATATTACAGCTGCTGTGTCAGGTACAAAAATCCCTTTACATTTCGTTGTCATCTCCATTTACTCGAGCCAATAACAATGTTTAGATTGAGTATCGTATGCACTCTGTTCGTGTGTTGCTTGTCCCCCCAAAAAGTAGTATTTATTGGTAAAACCTTTCACCAGAAGATGGCTAGTTAGCTGTCGACATCAACTAACAAATGCGTTGCGCATTCAAAATGACAGCTCGCCGCTTTGAAAGGGAATGTGAAACCTGCGTATAGGTGTGAACAAGATTTTTTGTAGTTGGAGACTTTTATATAATTCTGTTGCAATAGTTAGGTGACGATTATTTGTCCTCTCTACATAGTCAGTCTGCATGGAGCCCGACTTTTCTTTGTCATGTCCCTCCTCCGTAGTGCAATGTTTGGATTTTCGACGTGTCTGTGATCATTCCTGGGTCAGTGATTGGTAACTAGTAGGATGACAACGTCAGTTTTGTTGTCCCTCCTGCGTTCTCCAACATGGCCTACTATATGATATGTTTTGTAGAGACGGCATTATTGCTCTAAATACCATGATTGTTGCTACATTTACGGCCGATAAAATATGTTTTGCTGTCTATCGCTGTGGCATTGATGCTGTTGTATAGACGTTTTCTGATGAATCCAAGGAGGTTAGCCTGCTAGCAGTCGGAACAGGGAAGGTTAGATTTTTGTTATGTCAGCTCAGCCGACCTCTTACTGGCCATGTCTCATTCTACAGCAAAGTGGATGTTGTTGTTTTGACTTGTCGTCATGATTCATGGCTAAAGGTTTCACCGCAGAAACCGGTTTAATAACGTAAAGGCGACGGATGTTGCAAAGTCACATAATTACATTGATCGAGTAATAGCCTTTCTGTAAATCCTGCCTTCACGTGACACGGAAGCTGTTGGACTGCGGTTTTTCCCCAGGGAATTGGATGATCTGATCGGTAAAGGCTCGTTATAATCCATGTTTGTCAAGTGTGTCAGTGACGTTTATATTCGTTGTATAGAATCTGTCAAATATGTCTGATCCCTACTCAACTGCTGCCTATGATTGAATGATGGATGTATCACAATAGTGCCTAGGTAAGATCCAGCCAGGTGTTCCACAATTCTGACACCCCAATCACCCCCTCCGTGTGCACCAGCGGTTTCCATGGTGATGGACCCTCCCGGTGGGCGAGACGAGCGGCGTCGTCAGGCGGAGCGTCTTCGACGGGAGGAGGCGTACTATCACTTCATCAATGATCTGAGCGAGGAAGAGTACCGCCTCATGAGAGACAGCAACCTGCTGGGCACACCTGGTGAGAGGAACCTAGAGCACCTGACCTCGCTAGAACCCAGGAACCTAGAACACCTGACCTCACTAGACCCCAGGAACCTAGAACACCTGACCTCACTAGAACCCCAGGAACCTAGAACACCTGACCTCACTAGAACCTAGAACACCTGACCTCACTAGAACCCAGGAACCTAGAACACCTGACCTCACTAGAACCCAGGAACCTAGAACACCTGACCTCACTAGAACCCAGGAACCTAGAACACCTGACCTCACTAGAACCCAGGAACCTAGAACACCTGACCTCACTAGAACCCTCTATAATGCAGGGCTGCACAGCTCCAATTCCCCAGGGCAGCAGTGTTTGCTGGTTTTCAGCCTTGTTTTTAAATCCCAGGCTAATTTGTATCAGGACAGCCACGTGCCTGGTCCTCCTAGCCAATAAGTGGTGCTAATTAATGCCATGGAGAAACGAAAACCAGCAGGACTGCAGCCCTCGAGGATTGGAGTAGTTGTCCGCCCCTGCCCAAACCCAATACACTAATGCAGACTCGCTAATGCAATCTAATATAGGCCTACCCTCGCACACACACAATGATGTGTAATAACACAATAATATCACGTCATAATATAATGGCTCCATGTTGGCCACTAAGGGTTGAATTGGAACTGGACCCTCAACAATGAAGCATATATCCCCTTGACCTAACAGAGGACATGTTGTTCCCCAGGTGAAGTGACAGCGGAGGAGCTACGGCAGCGCCTGGACGGGGCAAAGGAGCGTGTGTCATCTCAGCCCCGCCCTGAACCACACCCACAGAACACGGAGGCTGGAGAGGAGGAGGGGAGCAGCGGTGAGGGGGAGGAGAGAGGGTTAGGAGGGGCAGGTAGGGATATAGGGGTGGAAATGGATGCTAAAGGGTCTGGGCTGTATAACCTAAACTTGACAGGATGTTATGGGTCTCAAAATGTTAATGACCTACTTGCTGCTGTATAGTACTGAAGTATGACTAGTAACGAGCGCTGTCTGTATAGGTACTGCTGAGACGGGAGCAGAGACATCTAACGGCGACTCACTGCTGGAGTGGCTGAACACGTTCCGACGCACCGGGAACGCCACGCGCAGCGGCCAGAGCGGCAACCAGACGTGGCGCGCGGTCAGCCGCACCAACCCCAACAGCGGAGAGTTCCGCTTCAGCCTGGAGATCAACATCAACCATGAGCAGCCGGAACCAGGGGAGCACAGTGACACCCCCGACCCCTCAGAGTTGGCCCCTGTCCCCCCTCCATCCACAGCCTCCATACACACTTCCCCCTCCACTCGCCCCTCCCCCTACACCCCTGCCCGGCCCTCCCCCTACACTCCTACCCGGCCCTCCCCCTATCCCTCACCTCGAGCTACCCTGGGCAGGAGGGCTCAGACCCGCCGTACACGCAGTACTACCACCACCCCCCCTCTGACTCCTGCACCCTTCACATCACCCCTGACCCCCCCTACTGCTTTAAGAAGTACAACAGCCCTCCACCTCCCCCCAGCCCCATTCCCCATAACCCCCCCTACCCTTCAGGATCAAAGCAGCCCTCTACAGCTCCAATCCCCAAGCGGAGCTTCCTCCCCAGGTGAGAGGCAGGAGGAGGGGGTTCCTACCCTGGACTGCCCCCGTGTACCAACCCAGTCTGGCCCCCAGGGGGCGTCTGTGGGTCATGAGCCACGCAGAAGCAGGACTCGATCCCGCGGCCGGATCCGCAGGGCTGCAGTAGGAGGTGGGACTTCCTCCCGGTCGTCTAGGAGACGTAGCCGCTCCCCTCTTCAGAGAAACCCTGCCCCTAACTCAGCTACCTTGTCCCCTAGTGGTGGGAGTGGAAATAGTGGCTCTAATGATGGCCACACTGCCGAGCCCGGCAACGGAACTGCTTCTGTCTCCATGGAGACCGGTGAGGCCTTGTCAGAGCCGGCTGTAGTAGCAGAGGCTGGTCCAGAGGCAGGGGAGCAGGAGGGAGAGGCACACACGGCCGGGGCGGGGGGTGCAGGAGGGGTGCGGCGCCATCCCACCATCATGCTGGACCTGCAGGTGCGTCGCATCCGACCGGGAGAGAACCGGGACCGGGACAGCATCGCCAGCCGTACCCGCTCCCGGGCCCGCGCCGCCGAGAACACTGTCACCTTCGAGAGCGACAGCGGAGGCTTCCGGCGCACCATCTCCCGCTCGGAGCGGGCCGGGATCCGGACCTACGTCAGCACCATCCGGATCCCTCTGAGGAGGATCAGTGAGACGGGCCTGGGGGAGCCCAGCTCCACCGCCCTGCGCTCCATCCTCAGACAGATCATGACTGGCTTCGGAGAGCTCAGCTCCCTCATGGAAACAGAGGCTGACTCTGAGTCCACTGGGGGCACGCCAGGTCACCAGGACCCTGCAGGACCCAACGCTAACACCAACACCACACAGGCCTACCATAGCCACGGCAACGAGAGTGGAACTGGGGCGGAAGGCCAGGCAGGAGGGGCGGAGATGGAGAGAGAGGGAGCAGCAGGGGCCGAGGAGGAAGGAAGAGGCCAGGAGAGGTTAGCCGGGAGTGACGGCGGCGCCGGGGGAGTCCCCACCCCCAACGAGGGTCGGCCGACGAGCAGGGACACGAACAACCTGGTGGAGAATGGCACACTGCCCATCCTGCGGTTGGCCCACTTCTTCCTGCTCAACGACGAGGAAGACGAGGAACACCCTCGCGGCCTGACCAAAGAGCAGATCGACAATCTGGCCACACGCACCTACGGCCAGGCCAGCCTGGAGGGGGAGGCGGGGCGCGCCTGCAGCGTCTGTATCAACGAGTACGCCCAGGGGAACAAGCTGCGCCGCCTGCCCTGCGCCCACGAGTTCCACATCCACTGCATCGACCGCTGGCTCTCTGAAAACAACACCTGCCCCATCTGCAGGCAGCCCATCCTCCCCGTGCACCAGGACTGACCCTGCCCTGACCTTTGACCCCTAGAACCCCCTCACCCCAGACCGCCACCGGCTACACCTCGCCACCTTTTGGTCGAACTGAGCATGCCCGAGCGGAGTGGACGGTGCATGTACATAGCTCTTTAATGTTTTCATTTATCATTGCGATATCCATTGAGGCGGGGAGAAAAAACCTATAAATGCAGAGAATAAACAAAGCTTTATTTTTTTAGACTTATTTGATTTTCAGCACGATTTTTTGTTTTTCTTTTCTTTCCTTCTTGTTTCTCTTCAGCCTCTGTGTCATGATGCTTCTGAGGTCCACATGTAGAGATAGGACTTATGCTAATGAGCTACTATAGCCAGCCGCTGCTCCTCTTCCTGACGCGCTGTGACATCACCCTGTCACAACCAGACTACAGCAATCAGTCAGACACATCTCTGGACTTGATTTGGTTGACAATGTGTAGATATGTCACCGCCGCCTGTGTTTTGGGGTTCAGAAGAGAAAGTCCTCCTCAGTCGCCTTGCATTTTAAATAAAAGCTAATATTGGAATCCTCCATTTTTAAAGCTCCGACATCCCTTTCAAAGTGTCCTCTATGATTTGAAGCTGTTTGGACAAAGGCTATTGTGTATTCTATATGACGTTTTAATTACATTTGTCTGCCCACCTGTTCAGTATATTTAAACCTAGCCATCTAACCCCATAGATCCACAGTGGATGTTCAACATTTCATTTCAATCCGTTACAGCCTTTGACACAAAAATATTAGTACCCCAAGTCAGAAAGAAATGTCTAAAGACATCTAAAGCAAAAGATAATCAAAAGTGTGTGAGGTAATTTAGCAGCAAGCACTTGTAGTAGGACTCGTCTGATATAGAGACAGGCCAATAATTTTCATGATAGATAAGGAGTTGTGCAATATCATGGAGGGAAGGAAGGACTGTTTTTAAAAAACGTTATAGTGCTGTTCTTCCTTGTTTACTCCTTGGCATCGATGATTAGTTCATCTGTTGAGAAATGGAGAGGATCTGCTCAGTAGTATGCTGTCCCTCTACCCTCAGTCTCCTAGAGATACCCCTTTTAATGAAACATTGGATCACCCCCCCACTCCTCTAACGTCTGTGTTTTAAAGTCCCTGCTCTGGTAGAACCTGCCTGTCATGACCTGATTTCGATCACCTAAGTAACAGTTCCATGTTCACAAACCTGAAAGGAATGAATAGGTGAAAGCAAAATGGTTCCGCCTCCACTCAGCCATTTTCTACATCTATCCAATCCTTTCAGATCAGTGAACAACATATTTCTTCCTCCATTAGCCTGGCCTAGATCTCAATTGGCTCTCCCTGCATGCAGTATCACCCTGTTACCACCAGGGGCAGTATTCACCACAGTACAACATGGTGAGAACTGGAGGCCAGTGGTATTGGTGTCCATGTAGGGCAGGGGTTTTCTGTGATTTTAAAACTGACTTTTGTTATGCAGACCCATGAGACAGGGGTGTGATACGGGAAATATTGCTCTTTGTATACTGAAGAATCTGAGCGTGCGTGCATTGTGGAGCTGTGAGTGTGATGAAAAGTGTGTGTGTGGTAGAGCTGAAGGAAGTGACAAAACAGAATGTCCTAAAATGATTGAGCAGTATTAATCAGTCACCTGAATGTTAATCTAAGACCGAGTGGGAGGGTCCGCGGCCATCGAATTCTGAATTGAATATTTATTCTGTTCCTATTTAATGAGATCAAAAACAACCTTTGAGATATTGAATACTTATTGTTATGTGATGAGATAAAAAAAAAAAAACTGTTAAAATGAATATGTATTCTGTTACTATGTAATATAAATAAACAAGGGTTTTCTTCTCTGCTCCTTAACAATGGATGAAATACAGATGTGTTAATGCCTGGAGTTCTTTTGTGCACTCTTTATTTGCTTCCCACAGGACCACTGTCTTAATCTTCCTGTCTTGATTTTTACTTGAATTTGACTTTCTCTCTCTCTCTCTAGGCTACAAATTACTCCTAGGCCTATGAAATTATAAGAATGTAACACTTAAGTAGGGTAATGAGGTGATAAAAAAAAAAAAAAAGATGCATATATTAAATGGCCATAGTGCTAATAGTCATATTGCCTATACCTATTTAGCATGCTATTTAGCCTAGCTCTGAAGTGTTGACCATGGCTACTGCGTTACAAGGCTAGTTTTCCACATGACATGTTAGACTATTAACCTATGGCATACATTGGCTACATGCATGTCCAGTTGAAGCAAAGTGAGTCAGGATGAAGGAACGAGGTTCACACGAGTATCTCGTTTATGCAACGGATTAGCCTTTTGGTGAGTTTGGCTGAGGACGAAGCCGCGCGCACGAACAAACACATGTCGTCTCCTATGCGCGCCCTCGTAGCTGCTGAGTTGAACCACCACGGTCCCTCGTCCTACAGACCGAATAAGATTCTTCTCCCAGCGAATGAAGCCTTGTCCCGGGCCCGCATTCCCCCGCTGTGACCGTGAGCCACGAGCATGCCAGCGCCCCGGACGCCTTCTTCCAGCCCGATACAGACCCGCACAAGATCAGGATGTACTTCAACCGGGGATCGAAGAAGATCCACAGCGAGGGAGGTAAACTTGACTAGAGGGGCGGACGCATGTACTGTAGTCTACAGTAAACTAGTACAGCTCCATGGGTAGCTATAGGGATCGAACTGGCAGCGAAATAAACATTGCGAAGAGGACGGATTGATTGATTCTATTGACAATATGTGCAATCTGTCCTATTCTATATGTACGTTAGGCTATATTATTGGAACTATAGGGGTCGGGATGGCCTTGTTGATCCCAGGACTGCGGCACGGGGGCGGTGCAGCGTGCAGCCTGGCGCTGCTTTTCACCCCTGTCATAGGCTACACAGTGAGTACAAACAACAGGGCTGTTCTTCTATTGGCATGGACAGACTCGGGATGTGGGCGCAGCGCTTCAACTGAATACGCTTTGAAAACACCAACTGCGTCCTTGTGTTTTGGAACACCAGAAGTACATTCATTTCCAATGGAATGCTGCGTTTGCCTTGCAGCATTGCGTTGCAGAGGCAGTTGCAGTGCGTTCTGTGTGGTGCATACGTTGGATTTATCGAACCTATGCGTCAAACTGTATGCGTGAACGGGTTGACAGAAATGGTAGCAGAAGGTGAATGTTGAACTTTTGTTGCACACATATCTAGATGATGCTGCATACTATTTTGCGCAATGACACAGTCAGTGTGTTCAAAGCGTTACACATACAGTTTGATGCATAGGTTCGATAAATCCAACATATGCACCACACAGAACGCACTGCAACTGCCTCTGCAACGCAATACTGCAAGGCAAACGCAGCGTTCCATTGGAAATTAATGTACTTCTGGTGTACCAAAACGCAATGATGCAGTCTGTGTGTTCAAAGCGTCTGCAACACAATGCTGCAAGGCAAACGCAGCGTTCCATTGGAAATTAATGTACTTCTGGTGTGCCAAAACGCAATGATGCAGTCGGTGTGTTCGAACCATAAACAGTGCGCGCACTCGTCCTGCATGTCCACGGAATCGCTTTATTTTCCGTGGGTGATGGGTTAATGGTGTGAGGGGTGCAAACTGTCAGGATAGGACATACTTTATTCCCAGCACGTAGGCTACAGTTCGGCACGGTGGGAGCCCGTTATTTAACACAGTCATGATTTATAGGCCACGTGACTAAGGGATCTTATTCAAAGCCCCTGGCGGGAAGGCCATCTCACCTGTTGAGGTCACGCAGGGCCCAGACAGTTGGACACCAAATCTGTGCTAGTTTAGGCTACATAATAGAGTCACTGTTGTCTGGGCCTATATACTGGTGCAGAATAGTGCTTGGTCCTACTCAATGCGCTTTTGTCCCCGAAAAAAATCTATGCATCACATATGCACTTTTGCCCTCTAGCGTTTACAGGGACAGCAGAAAGCATCCTTGCACAGCACTCTCCACACAGTCCCATAATAATTGTAGCCACGGACTCTAGCCTATGCACACACAGAAAATCCTAGCATGATTATTGGCATTTTGACTGCGTCAGGGAGTGACTGCCAGAGGAGGTTTTGGGCCAAGGCTGCAGGGATTAGAAGGGAGGAGGTCAGGGTTTTGGGAGATAGCTGGCGCTGGGGCAGTTTTGGCAGTGATGCCGCCAAATATGAGTTTGTGTTTGCCGATGCTCCAGTTGGGGCTTTGGAGGGATTGTCCTGGAAGAGGGTATGCACGTGGCTGAATGACCATGAGTGACTGGCACAAGTGCATTGTGTGGCTGGTGTGTGTGTGTGACTGACTGCTTTTCCTCCAACAGGTTCCAGAAAGAGCATGAGCGAGAGAGAGAGTTAGTCAGTCCAGACTCCAGGGAAAGCTGATATTGACAGAAAATTACTTTTACTCTGGGTTAATCAGGACAGTCAGGACTCAGGAGTCAAGACAGGAAGACGCATCAGGGAACAAACACTCTTACTATCCCTATAGACCTATTAACAGACCCCCCAGTGACATTTAAGTGAGATGTTGACAGTTCTTCACGATTATATAATAATAAGGGGTTGCTTATATAGTCTTGTTTCACTGTATGTACAAGTGTGTAACCTGTACAGGTGTGAGGTGTGAAATGGAAATGTGTTTTTTGAATATCCTGCCTGATGCAGGATATGCTACCCTGGAGCAATTAGGGTTAATTGCCTTGCTCAAGGCTCTGGGATTCGATCCAGCACCCTTTCGGTTACTGGCCCAACGATCCTAGCTGCCAGGCTACCTGTCGCCCCATTACTATTCTGTGTGTGTACAGTCCCCATAGAAGTGTGGTTTGTTTACCATGTATAAAGATATATTGAGATAAATCAGGTTTATTGTCTGTGTCTGAGGTGGGTCTTTTTGGTGACATACACTACATGACCAAAAGTATGTGGACACCTGCTCGTTGAACATCTCATTCTAAAATCATGGGCATTAATATGGAGTTGGCCCCCCCTT